GTCGTCCATCGACTTTCTCTGTCCCAGGCTCAATTTTTGGGGTGCTGGGCCTGCAAGGGGCCGGCCTGGTATTTAAGCTCTTCTCCCTCTCTGTCGGCGTGAACGTCTTCCAGTTCACTGGGTGTGTGGCGTCAACAGTGGGCCGCAGACCAGCCCACTGCCAGCCTTGTCTGGGTGCCGCAGGGAGGGTTAGCGAGAGGCTGCATGTCAACTGGCCTCTGCTGTCCCCAGGGTGTCAGTCCCCTCATCTGGGGGACGTCTGTGTGGGAAGCAAACACTCGAAATCCTTGCTGCTAGTCACCGCCGCCATCCCCAGGGCGAGTGTCCATGCTGAGCCCGAGGAGAACATTTTGTAGAGCCCGTGTTACACTTTTTGTTACCCAGGTGGCTAATGCGTCCGAGGGGGAGGGAGCCTGCCGCTCTCTTTCCCTGTTTCTCCCTTTTCTTCCCCTCCCAGTGGCGGACGGACTTCCTGGGCGGCACTTAAACAAAACCTGCTTTTCACTCTATGGAGAAGGAACAGTGTAAAGAAAAAGAACACGCCGGATGTGCACTAACTTACAAACTCATGCAGGGAGCGGCCGGCTGGGAGCCCGGCCTTGCCTACGAGCAACTCTTCCCTGGTCTGTGTCTGTTTCGGGGGTGGGGCGGGGGTTCAGGAGCCTACAGAGCCTCCATGCCGAGGGCCAGGAGGGGCAGCCCAGGCCCAGCAGGGCTCGCTGCATTCTCAGCTCCGACGCTGACGCTGTCCGTGTGCTGTGTACCCAGCGGTCCCCTCCCCTTCCCACCGCCAAGGGGCTCCTGAGCCACACACTCGGAAATGGTCCCTACATGGTTCGCTTCCCCTTTTGGAAGGCCCCGCATGTCGGAGTACTCGAGCATCACCCGGTGTTCGCTCTGTCACCAGCCTCCCCCCTTCCTCCTTTGAAGTTGTTTCCTCTCTGGGCAGTTGTCATTTCCTCCCTTAGTCATCGAGGTTCCAAAATGACCACGTTACGTTTCTATGGTCACTTCCCCGTTTCCATGCGTGTAGGCTGCTTTCCTTTGAATAGTCTTGCAGCAGACTTTTTTTTTTTTTAACGCTTGGGGTGGTGGCATTCTGTTTAGCTTTTTTTTTAAAGAATGAGTGCTAGAGGACATACAGTGTGAAGACAATACAGGTGACCTAGCAGGGAAAGGTGACTAGACGCTTGTCCTCTGTGGCATTTAGGACCGTGCCTGGCGCAGGCTAGGCCCTCACTGTTTGCTGAAGGAGCGAAGGGCACATTGCCTCAGCGACAGGCAGAAGTAAGGGTGGTGGGGAGAGACGTTTCCAAAAGGTAGATGGCACCTGTTGTTTAACACAAGCTGTTTGCGCCTTCACTTACTATTGTTTCTGCCCATATGCCCCAACATTCTCAAACACCCAAAGTTTTAGCTTTTGCAAAAGAGCAAACGGTTCTTCTCTGTGTCCATTGAGAACAGCACGGAGCCATCCAACCAGGAAGCTGAGCCACCGGCACCGTCTCCGAACGCGAGTCCCATTGCTGCTTTTTCCTACCCACAGTCTCCTTGGTGCCTCGAAGCCTGAGTAAGGTCTTAAAAACATAAATCACATCTTGTCATCACCATCTTTAAATAGCACAGCGACTTCCTTTGCAATTAGAATGCACTTCTTCATGCTTGCAGGGCCAACCCTGCTCGCCCTGAAGCCTCCTTTCTGACCACGCCCCTGGCGTGTTCTCTCTGCTCTGCCAACACTGGTCTCCTTATGGATACTCTGCTCTGCTCGACTGAATTCATTCCTGCCTCGGGGCCTTTGCATTTGCTGTTCCCTTTGCCTGCAACACTTTTTGCACTCAGGCCTCCAGGGAGGCCCTTTCTGACTACTGCCTCTGTCTTACCACCTTGCCTTATTTTCCACCCCCCAAGACCACTGTGCCATCCACTGATGCATTTAGTGCTTTTGTGGCCCCACTGGAGTGGCCACTCCGTGTTGATGGCCCCAGTTTCCAGGCCCCGGCCGCTATGTGTTGAGTGGGTGGCTGAACAAGGGGCAGCGAGCTGTGTTTTCAAGCTGGGTGCTGTGTGTGGGCTGTTCTCTCTTGAGAAGTGGGTGAAGGGATGAAGGTCAGAGGCAGACCCTAGGTCCTGTGATCTTGACTTCAAAGGCTCAGATCTAAGGCCACATCCGAAAACGGGAGAAGGAATGGGCCTTTTCTCAGAGACCTAGGCTGAGTCCAAGGTCAGACTGGGGCCGGGTGAGCTGACGCTCTGCTCCCAGATATCTGACAACAAGGAAGTTCTTGTCCTCTGGGCAGGGCTGTGTTGTGAAGCCTCCCTCTGCACTTCCTGCACCTTTCAACACACGCCAACGCAAAGCATCTGTACACCTACTGTGTGCAGACACTGCTGTAGGCACAGAAAGTGAGCCCTGAACAGGAAAGCCCAGGTCCGTCCCTGGAGAAGCTGCTGCCTTTGCAGCTGGGGAGACACAGGTGAGACAGTTTCTGCTCTTGATCAGTGCAGACGAGGCAGGGAGAGCAGAGAGGGGTGCTCCACAGCAGGGGCCGCAGGGGCTGGCGGGAGCGGACCCAGGCAGGGCCTCCGGGCCACGGCGAGTTCTCCGCACACGGTCCCCCTTACCCTGCCTTGACAAAGACTGACTTTACGACGTCTGGTGCACCATCTGAGAGCTGTGGAAGGTCACAGAAAGCCTCAAATTGCTCCCCACTCACAAGCGAAGGGACTCAGCAATCCTCCTTCCTCGGCTAGATATTTGCCCCAGGGAGGCAGGATGTCTGGGCACAGTGATGCTGAGCTCAAGATCACTTCCACGGTGCGTGTGCTCAGCACACACACACACACACTCAGAAGTAAAAATCCATCTGCCACAAACAGGACTGAACCACTACAGTACAGGCAAACTCGATTTTTGAAGAGAAGGCCCTTTTGAAACGACCAAAACTCCAAGACAAGGATTCCCATATAATAAAATCACACATTGACCTTGTCTTTTAGACCTGATTTTGTAGCATTTCTGCAACGGCCTTGAACATGGACTCAGTCAGCTACAGTCCAGCAAGCCCGTGAACATGCCGTGACATTTACCCCTCTGCCGTGCGACTGCCGGGCTGCCATCTCAACCGTGTGAGGCCGGCCCTTCCTATCACTGATATCATCGTGTTTAACTTTCTGTTTTCTCCTTGTTTTATAGGCCAATGATGGAAATAGATAATAAAAGCCGACTCCACAAAATCTGCAAGACACAGAGGCGGAAGCCCTGATGACATGGAGCTGTTGGCCGGCGAACAGCAACACACGGGCACAGCCGGGGACGGCAACCGGTGACCACCCCCAGCACTGCGTTACCATTTCTACAGCAACCAAACAGCGTGTGGGTGTTAAAGCGGATGTGGTGGATCAATGGTAGGAGAATGAATGGAACCCTGACTTGTACTTTCCATGGTGAAAGGCCAGAGGCTCCACCATGCTCAGCAACTGCTCCCATCGGGGTAAAGCCTCGAACAATAGTTTCTCTCAAGATGCACAAGGCGGCGTGGGATCACGGAACAAATCCCAGGTTGGAAAAACAAACATGCAATGAACAGCAGGCCAAAGAGCGAGAAAGGGTATTTTTAGAAAATGTGAATGGGGACTAGCGGAAAGGCGGGATTCCTTCAGGTAAATTTTCTTGGGTGTGAGCACGGCCCTGGAACTGGGGAGGAGACCGCCCTTGTGGTCAGCAGACGTGCTGACATATTTAAGGGGAAAGGGTCATTCTCCCTACAGGCTCTTTTCCAGCGGGTGGCCGTAACCAAGCGTGCACTTGAACCGAAGCATAGAAAACCAATGCAGACAGTATAACAGACGGCCAGGAGCCTGCGAACCCCGGTAAAGGGTATGCATAAGCTCACTAAGTGATTTTTCCCAATGGTTAAAATTTTTTCAAAGAAAACAGTTGGGCACAATACTCTAGCTAAGATATGCACACATGACCTGTGGAAGAGAGATGTTGTGCGTTACGCAGCTATAAATTCCACTAACGACACCTGTAGCTGTTGTTGTACTAATAAAGAACACGTGTTTCCTGGTTGGTGTGGCTCAGTGGATTGAGCACGGGCTGTGAGCTAAAGTGTCGCCGGTTCAATCCTCAGTCTTGGCACGTGCCTGGATTGCGGGCCAGGTCCCCAGTAGGGGCGTGAGCAAGAGGTACCCACACATTGATTATTTCTCTCCCTCTCTTTCTCTCTCCCTTCCCCTCTCTCTAAAAATGAATAAATAAAATCTTTTAAAAAACCATTTAAAAATTTTAAAAAGTATCTAAAAAAAGAACACATGTAATTCATAAAAGCAACCTCCCCATTTGTAATTGTTTTATTTATTTTTCCTGTTCTATTGGTATTTTTTTAAAGGCGCAGCAAAATAATCCTTGAGCTTTCCCAGTAACCAGTGAACTTACCTGTTTTTTTTTTTTTCTGGGCAAGCTTTTTTTTTTTTTTTTTGGTAGTCACTTCCTCACTAGTGAATCTTGTTTGATTCCTGTACCAGACCTGAGCCTCAGTCACACGGACCAACACAGCAGTTAACATGGAGACAGAGGGTGCTGCCTTGTGGGCTTGGGAGAGGAGGCTGGAGCCCAGGTGTGGGCCCCAAGTCCGTCAGGACATTTGGGAGTGACACCGAGTGCCTTCAGGGTCCACAGATTGGAGAGGTTGGGGGAGCTGAAGGGGCCCCGTTAGGAGCTGAGTGGGCACAGAGGGAGAGACTGCGTGATCTAACCCAGAAGCCGGTTTCCGCCCGAGTCAATTTCATCCATCTCTGAATCCACCTGGGAAGGAGCTTTAAGTGCACACATGTTCTGCACACAAACTGACATGAAACCTTCCCATCTCAATATTACATATTGTTAGCATCCCTCCTGTAACCTCATTAGAAACTCAGAACAATAGCCCACCACTGTCCTGATGCGGGCCAGGTGGTTTGACCCTCTGCCTGTTCACACTGCCCCCAGCACTCACCTTGGGCATCCCGTCCATGACGCTCGCTCCTTTCATGTCACTGTGAAGCGGCCCTCGGCGCTCCGTGGCTGATATCTTGGGCTTCAGAGGCGGGTTGTGCAATGCCACGGCATGCTTGGGGCTGGTTCTCAGAAACGAGCTTCTGTGGAGCTGGTGGCCAGCCTGGGAGAGTGTCAGAGAGATTCTCCCAGCCGGCAGACTTTCAGGAAAGCAGGTGAGGAGTCAGACAAAAGGCGTGAAGGGAGGACAGGAGATCAGAAATCCAGGCACACTCAGTCCTCAGCGCCTAAATGTCTCACGTCGCTTATAAATAGGGATTGTCACACATTTGTTATGTGAAACCACAAAAAAAAAACCACCAAAAACCCACTCTTCTGCTTTATATGTTGAAGTTCCTACTTTGAAAAGCTCTGTGTATGAAAGCACAGCGCTCTCATCCCTCCAACTTGGAACAGCTCACAGCAAACAGACCAAGCTCTTTCCCCCAATTAGAGGCCAGGAGCCCAACTTTGCAATATCCGTCAGCACTTCTTCCTTTCTGCCCCCCAAAATTTCCTGTGACAGCCAGGAGAAAACAAGTCCCGGGACCACCTCGAAGGACCGTGTCGCAATGCACTTTCCTCACTCAGAGCCGCCTTGCCCCCTGCTCTGGCCCCCACGCCCACCTCCTGGACTTCGCTGTCAGCGGAGTGGCTCACATTCTCCCAGTGCCGACTGACTCTGCCTCCGGCGATGCTGAGTGCCTGTCTTTATAACTTCATATTATCTCTTAAATCTCCCCCCCCCCCCTGTACTTGAAACCACAGCATGAGCTCACACAGTATTCAGCATTATTGCTGAGTCGGTTTACTTTCCCTAAATTCACATTCGACATCCAGAGAAGAGATACAGGGGAACAGACTCCTTGCCAGGCCCGCTCGCCTTTTCATTTCCTCCGGACAAGCTGGTGCCCATCCTTCCGAGCCTGGCTCAGGTTCCGCCTGCTCTGAGCTCTCTCCCCCCACCGCTCCCTTCCCACGATGACAGCTCTTACTGGCTGGTCTGCTCTCTGTCCTGTGTGTAGTCCCCAAGGGTCTGAGCGCTGGGAAGGAGCTACTGATGAGAACAGCTGGCCGACTTGGCTGAGACCATCTATATTTTGAATTGTTATCCTTGTTGGAAGTGAACTTCCCAGACCAATGAACTGGTGGGCTGCCGACGGGAGCCCACAACAAGGTGGGGACAACAACCCTACAGAATGTACACAGACTGATTTCACCACCAAGCTGAAGTGGACGTCTGCAGAGAGGGGGCCACAGAGGGGTAGGGGAAGTCATTTCCGGAAGGCTTCTGAGGAAGGCAAGGAATGAGAAGCTGGGGCAGATCAGTTGAGGGGCAGACTCATGCCTAGCTGCATGAATGTGCAAAAAATAATAATAAAAAGAGATGGAATTAGCAAGTTCCATTTAAGGAAAGCTAGCAGACTTGTGTGCAAGAGCGGTGAGTCACAAAGGCTGAGGTTGTACATGACAGCGGGACTTGCAGAAGTTTCTTGACCCTATTATTAGTCTTTATGGATGAGACGAGGCGTTAACAGGACACCCTGCAATGCACACATTGCGCTGACACTTGTAAGGCAAAGGGCGCCGCAGAGCAGTGGAAAGCTTGTGTTAAATGTTGGTGCGCTTCTTCTGGCTCTGCTGGGCAGCGCAGGTCTGGGGAAGATGCAGCTGGGCCCCGGAGGGGAGCCTGAGGTTCATAGTTCCGGGGCAGACTCCACGAAACCTAAATCCGATGCTTCCCTACATAGACCCGTGGGAGAAAATTCTGAAACGGAGTGGAGCAGCTCAGCCCAAATGTCCCTTCTCTAACACTCACTCTCGTCTAAAACAAAGGTCACATATCCCTAATGCCTGCCGAGGGATTGATGGAAGAGGGGAGGAGGGGGAGAGAGAGAGTTATTAATTTGGCCAAAAACCCATACTAGTTTCAATAAATAGACTGCAAAGGGTGAGGGTGGGGGAAAACAGAGGTGGAATCTGAAGATTAACAAACTTTAAAGACACAGCAAAGCACAATGTATGAGCCTTATCTGGAGTCTAACTCAAATCATTTACAAGGAAATTCCAACACTGACTGGGTATGTGACAATATTAAGTAACTGATGTTACTGTTTTAAGGTGTAATGATGCTATGAATAGTGTTTTTTTTTTAAATTCTTTATCTCTGAGATATATAGTGAAATATTTATAAAGTATTTCTGAGATTCACTTCAAAATAATTCCAGAAAGGGGAAGTGAACAGAGGTGTAGGAAGAGCAAGACTGGCAACTAGCTGAACCCTGGGGCGTCTGCTGCTTTGTGCTGTGGACATTCAGTTAAAAGTGCGGCAGCTTTAGTAATTCACGCACTGCAAAATTTACCCGTTAAGTGTGTTTTTTAGCATATTCAGAGTTGTGCAATTTCAGAACATCACTGCCCCCCAAGAAGCCCCGTGCCCCACAGCAGTCATGCCTCAGTCCCCTCCCCGCAAGCCCCTGCTAGCCAGTGTTTCTATTTTATTACTCACTTTAGTATATATTTGGAAAGGAGTACAAAAGGGTGGAGAAACGTGCTGGAGGGTCACACAGCAAAGCGACAGAGATAAAATCTGAACCCGTCTCCCAGAAAAGAAGCAAGACAGACTTCAACCAATTCAAGTCTGCCCGGTACCCCTGGGCAAAGGCCGGACCGAGGCACTGCCAAACTGAAGGGCTGCCCCCAATTCCAAGCATAGATTAGAAGATCCTGCTTTGCACGCCTTTCTTTAGGAAACATCCCTCAACCAACAAACCCCTCAACCAACAAACAGGACACACAAGGAACAGGATTTGGCCCTGAAATGAAACAGACTAACCCCTACAGAGAAACTGGTGCAGTGTTTTGTGAATGAGGACCTTGACTTCTCAGTCTGCTATCTGGTCCCGTCACGCTTTTTCTGAATAAAAGGCCTTAGATTATTTTGCTGGGATCCGTTTGTGTTTAATTCTCAAGGCAAATGAGTCTCTCATGTGCACAAACATTGCAAAAGTTAATTGTTCTAGGAAACGGGCTGGCTTTCGTAATATCCTGCTGACCCAAGGTTGAAACCGCTTGAGTTTAAGAGAACCAAGCACATCACGGATGCTAATGCAGTAATTATTTCCCATTTGACACACGCTACGGAGAATGGCGCCTTGGACTTGTTCTCTGTTCTGAACCTACTGGGCCCAATTGCTTCAGCAGCTCCTCATCAGTGTGCAGGAAGAGGTTCTGTCTGCAGAACTGGCTTTTGTGCGCTTCCCCACTGTTTCCACCAGGACTTCAGCTCTCAAGCCCCCGGAGTAGTAGTGTTCCAACACCTGAGGCTTTGAGCACAGCCGAACACACGTGAGGACGTCCAAAGCACTGGGCTTGGCAGGAGACTCGGGGCCCCGCCGCTGTGAAATGGCTGATCATCTGGCAGATCGTAACTTCAGGAAGATAACTCAGTTATTTTGGCAAAAGTAGCGTCTTGTAAGCAGCCAACAAATTCATCTGCCATCCCCTAATGCAGGAATGAAACAGGGAGGACTGGGGTCCGACCACCACCGTAACTGGTCATACCTCAGTTTGATGGCCGGAATTTTGATCCCCAGGTTGGGAGGGAAAAGGAATCAGAGCAAGACTTGGGGAAAAGCAAAGGCGTTGCCGTGGGTGTCAGGGGTCACGGAGGGGAAGGAAGAGGCTGCATGTCGCTGGGAGAACAAGGAGAAGCAGGGTTGAAAGTGCGGCTGCAGGCAGGTGGTCACTGCCTGGGGTGGGGGCTGTGTGTCCAGAAGGTGAAGGGCAAAGTTGCCAAAAGGTGACGATGGAGAGAGGCTGCGGAGGCTACGAAACCCCGCTAAGGAGCAGGAGGCAGAGGGTGAAAACGCCGGAGAACGGGCAAAAGCGTGGCGTATGAAACGTTGACTGTTTCTAGTTCTCTTTGGGTGGTTCCAACCTACCTGGTCACTTTTGAGGTCACTCGGTCCCCGGGCTCATTCTGGTTGCCCTGCTGTTCTTCAAACGTACTTGTAACTGTGCACCGGTAATCCCAGTGTCTTTCTGAGTCTAACGCGCTCCGGGTATCTCCTGAGTGTCATGGTGGCCACTCGCCGCATGGTCATGGACCCAGGCTCCTCGGAGGCGCATCAGGGAGGACTGTGGCCCGGGTCCAGACGTGCTCTCCACGGAGTCTGGGCTGCTCGCCGGTGTTTGGGGCCCTGCCGCCTGGAGTGGCCCACAGTTCTCAGCTCACGTTTTTCCTGCTGCGTAGGTAACGTGAACTGGCCCTCTTGCCAGAGCGACAGCTGGCTTGTGGGTGGGACTCTCCGAGAAGACCCCTGCCGGCCAGCAAAGCACCTCTTGGGGTCTGGGCTTTCCCTCGGGAACTAGATCAAAGTTCCCACCCTGTGAAGACCCAGAGCTCGGAAAGGAGCCCAGGGCGAGTAACAGGTGTGCTTGGTGTAATTTATAGCTTGAAACTACAATCCACCCAGGTGTGTGGCGGGAAGGCTCTCAGGGCACCTGGCCTGCCGTTTTCAGAAACGAGTCTCCCTCTTAGAAGTGAGCGAGTGCCTTCCCCCACCCCAACCTGTTTATAAAAAAAAGACACTTCAGTGATTTCACCGATTCCAGTGAATCCTGGGGATGATTTTGATGAAGCTCTCATCACAGAAAGGAAGCTGCAACCCCAAGGAAGGGAGGCCCGTCTTCCTACTTACCATGTCTGCCCCTGCCCCGCGAGGGGAGGCAAAGCCTAAAGCAAAAGGTAGGTTTCTCTTCTCTAAGTGACCCAAAGAAACGGAATTACACCCACACTTTTTAACTCGGAAAGAGCAGAAGAGCAAAAACACGCCGTGAAAGGTGACTAAAGCACTGTACAAGAATCTGACTTCTAGAACAAAGCATCAAAGAAAACACTGAGGAGTCCGTCGTAATGGCTGCAGGAGAGCTCACGTTCAACACGGTAACACCCAGTGCAAGCCCCAAAACCACCAACTAGCTTTCGATTGTCGTTACGTATGAAAAGTTTATTTTAGAAATCACATAGCTTTAAAAAACACAGCCGTTCTGAGCTCTTATCCTGACTGGGTATCATTCACCGTTCGAGTGTCAGGGTTTTACGCAGTACAACGAATTATGTGCGTGTAATACTTCTGGCATTTATACCAGCTTTTGAATATTAATGTAATTTAAAAGAAGTTAAAAAAGTTCATTTTGAAGACACACTAAAGTATTTCGATCTTATAAACATAAGTCCTGAAACTATATCCATCGCCGAGAGAGACTATTCCAAAGCTGGAAAGAGTAGGCGTGAGTATTTCAATTCACGAGCAGTTGGAAGGTCGAGTGGACTCAAGGTGTGCAGAGCGGTCACCCCGTGCATGTGCCCGGGCAGAGCAACATGGACAGACGGACGTGCTGAAGGTCTCCTCTGGCTTCAGAGGCTGGGAGCAAAAGGAAAGTCAGAGGAAGCGGGAAGCCGTGTTTGGTCATTTTTTCCTGAGGCATGGTTCAGGGCGCCCTGGTTACCCTTGTTCCCACTCAATTGTTTTCTTTTAATCTTTTATTTTTTAATCCTCATCTGAGGACATGCTTATTGATTTCAGAGAGAGGGGAAGGGATGGAGAAGCGGGGAGAGGAACAGCCATGTGAGAGAAACGCTGATGGGCTGCCTCTTGCACACACACTGCCTGGGGACTGGACCGCAGCCTAGGCATGTGCCCTGACTGGGAATCGAACCCACGACACTTCAGTTTACAGGACTACATTCCAACCAACTGAGCCACACTAGCCAGGGTGGTTTCTTTTAATCTTACAAAAGCATCACCCACAGAAGGCCTAGTTCAAATACTAGGTAATCAGGACACAAAATAAAATGTACACACTATACAGCAAAAGACATAGATCTTTGTCAACCTGAACCAAAAAAACGCTGTGATTTAACATGCTAATTAAATTGTTTCACAGACTAAAGAATTAAAATCATCCTTAAGGATGACTACAGAATTTTTATGCAATCAACTTCGGAAAACTTTAAAATTCCTATAACATAAAGCAATTACTTTAACCTATTTAACATTTTTTAATCTGATATTCCCAGATTGTGTTTCTAGGTACCGCACGTGACTCAGGCCTCCTTTGCACTTGGGGATAAACGCAAACCACAGTTTTCTGTGAGGGGCCTGCAGGGTGCCCTGACCCAGGGAGAACTGAATCCAGAGCAGCACTGTCACCTTCTAGAAAGTGTGAAGAAAAAGGAAATTCATGTAAACTGGTTAACTGCAAAAACCTCCTGAGAACACAGGCTGCGGCGTGTGTCCTCGATGAGCAGTTAAGGTTCGCGCTGAAAAATAAGATTTAAAAAGACATAAGAACGAAGTCAGTCAATATTAATCGTTCATGAAGGTCAGCGACACCTGAGGGCAGTGGTGGGCTCCCCCAATTTTGTTAAGATGGGACAGATTTTTCAAATCTGCTTCCCACCAGATGGCGATAATCTTATCAGAAACAATTACCGAAGACAATGGACAGATAACGTGGGAGATGCGATGAAAGACGTGTCCCGTAAATTCCCAGGAAAGCGGCCATGAATTTCACGGAAGCGGGAGATGTGTGAGCGGTACAGGTGCAGAGTCGAGCGTCGCTGTCAGGATGTCGCTTCACAGCAGAACTGACGGACGCGGTTCTAACGGGGCCCAAAGCTCTCGATTCTCGGGCGTGGCACAGGCACGAAGGCACCGACGAGCAGGGCCCGGGCATCCACCCGGGGCTGGCGCGCACGTTAACACCCACTCTGTCCTGCTGCAAATGAGCAAGAGGAGGAGAGACTGCAAGTCCTGTGTTTACACAGCTGGCGACAAGCACACCATGACAACCGTGATGCGGAACTGCACAGCTCTGTGGTCCCCACGCCCTCCACGACCCCGCATCAGGGTGAGAAAAGGTCCTTCTGTACAAACCCACGCAGGCCGTGGGGGGCAGCCCGACGGCCACAGATGGCACAATGACTTGCTCCTGGGGCTGGTGACAGGACCCAGAGGGAAGAGCGGCGGTCGGGCGCCCTAGTCCGTGGTGGACCTCCGGTACCAGAAGCGGGCCCGGAAGTCGTCGCTGCAGGTCATGAAGCCGGGGTTGGTGGGCGAGTGCACGATGCAGCGCACGATGTTGTTGTGGCCCAGCGACAGCAGGTTGCGGCGCTCGGCCGTGCGCGAGTCCCAGCAGCACAGGCTGATGGTCCTCTCGTCCGGGAGCAGCACGTAGTCCTCCGTGTGGTTGAAGACCGCCTGCGTCCGGTGCACCTGCCGCCCGCTCAAGCCAGCACCTGCGCACAGACGGAGAGGTTAAGGGGAGCCAAGGGGAGCCGAGGGGAGCTGGAGGGCTTTCCGAGACCACCCGGGACCCACTCTCAGACCAATTTGACGGGCCATGGACCCCACTGGCGCAGGAACAGCATTTTAGAGCCACTGAAGGGGCACGCATTCATGGTGTGGTTTGGGGAGCGCTAGAGCCGTAGAACAGAATGAAGAGTGAAGAACAGGATCAGCCCTGGGCCCGTGCATAAGGCAACTTTGTTAACCCGGATGCCCTCTGAGGCATAGACACCTTTTTAAAAACTATACAAAACTGGTGTTTCATTATATATGTCTTTTCTATTGTGCTTTAAACCAGCGGTCCAGAACCTTCTGGCACCAGGGACCAGTTTCGTGGAACACAATGTTTCCACGGACAGAGTGCGGTTGGGGGATGTTTTACAGATGATTCCCCTCCTGCTGTGTGGCCTGGTTCTTAACAGGACTGGACAGGTATGGTCCACGGCCCTGGGGGCTGGGGACCCCTGGTTTCAATCAGCTTCCTGCTGGGCACATTTCCCATCATTTTTACTGGTGCAAATACCCCCTTGTTTAGAAACATCATTACCTATTTAGATCTTTTCCTGCCAGGCATTTAGTTTGTATCCAATTTTAAGTAACGGTGGGATACACATCCTTTGTGCAGGACACATTATTTCCAAAGAATCAAATTCCTGGGAATAGAACTACTGGGATGCATGCACACCTGCTCTCCAAAAGAAAGCTTTATGCTTTTGTGTGACCATAAAAATATCTTGTTCAAAATGCTATACAGAATGTAAATGAAAGCTGTCTGGTAACTTTACATACACAGCCAGTACTTCGATGGCCAAGTTTCCAACTGTCTCTGAGCTGTACATTCATTTGAAAATTACGTAACTCAGAGCACACAGCATGTGCTGTTTTTATTCAACGGTATGCAGTGGAGACCCGTAAAGAGGCAACAGCGCTTAATGGGTAAAAATACGAACTTGGCGTCTGACCTGGATTCACCCCTTATCAGTGATGCGGACTTGAACAGATTACTCTACACCCCTAGATCTCAATTCTCTCCTCTGTCTCATGGGGACCATCACCGCACCCAGCCCCGACCGCGTGGGGACTGGATGAGGCAGTGTGTGCTCAGCAACTGTTCCTAAGCAACCTGTCCCATGTGTCTGGAGCCACCGTGTGGCCTCTCCCTCTCCACTGCTGCAGGGACACCTTTCTGTGAGTGCCTGTGCTTGCCCGAGTGTTTTTAAGGTTGAATTTCTAAGAGTGGGTATAGCAGGCCCCCACCCCCGAAAAAGTAGGACAGAAATAGATTTCCAGTTCTAAGTGAAACAAGGTTTATCCCTGCAGTATTTTCCATAGGGACTGCAAATCTACTTTTGCCCCACCCTGTATATGTGTTTAAAATTTTCATACGTGACCCCAAACTGCCTTTCATAAGTATTTTACTGACACTCTTAACACGATTTCCTGAAATGTTCAGCAACACTACGTAACGCCGACCCTTCAAATCCCTGAAACGCGACGAGCACAACACAGGGCCTGCGCCTCCGTCTACCTTCTCCTGCTCACTGATGGATGTCCGACCTGCTTCTACTGTGCATGCTGCCCCTCAGCCCAGCACTTTGCTCCCAGTGTGGTTTCCCCATTTTCACTTCGGTCACTTTTATGTCTTCTCTTTGCAACACGCACAGGTTTTTCATAGCAATAAGATTATTTTTCAAACTAGCCTCATACAGACGTGTTTCAGTAAAGCCACCACCAGCTATGATAGAAACGACTCATCCCAACAGTGGCTAGTTGCACCGCCTACCCCGCCCGGGAGCCGGCAGGGCAGCTCGAGCAGCCTGGGTTTCCGTGAGCTCAACTCCGGGAGGCTGTGCTGCGCCCTAGTGGCCCAGCCGTCACATCGCTGCCATCTTTTCTCTAAAACGCCCATGTAACGCCCAGGCAGAGCCCGGTCAGCACCGTTTTCTTGGGAGCTCTAGGGTCACAGTCCAGGCAACCTGGGCACCTGACAAACCTCTTGCACCAGAGGGAACTAGCTGGAGTTTCCTACCAAACAACAGCCTTTGCTTCTACACGGAACAGAGGAACGAGGAGCAGCATTTTAACAACATTCACTATAAAAAACGACTTGACAGACTACTAGTGAAAGGATCAAGTTAAATCTTGTCATACAGAGCTCACAGGCAACACTGTTGCCATTTAGAGACCGCCATGATTTAATGAGGATCAGATGAACCTAATTGTGTTTTTCTGTCTGAAAGGCTCACCTTTTACATGCAGGGACAGCACACCTGTGCTCTCACCCTGGGCCTCCCTCTGCTGGACGGACGGCCCAAGACCCTCCCTCGCAGCCCTCCCTCCCTGCTGTGCACACCCCGAGGCTCCTCCCCGGACTGCAGAGAAAAGGGCCGGCTGCCGTCTGCAGACAGGCCAGGTTTTCAAATGTTACCTGCACGGAAGCAGATCCAGTTTAAGCTTTAATGTATCGAAAGAGCAAAGGTGGGACACTGTGGCTCATTCTGGCTCTGCCTCTTGTTAACCTGACTAACCTCGGCTAAGATATGTAATCCTGGTTTAAGTCTTGGTTTCCCCTATCTAAAATGAGTTCTTGAAAATGTAAAATGCTACATAATGTTGAGTAATATCGATTTCTCACATACCTGTGTATCTGACCAGTGTTCGTCCTGTTGATATTTCCCAAAGTTTAGCTACAGAGTCTTTTCCACTTGAAAGAATGTATTTAGAATTTTTGGAAAAAATGGCAGAGCAGACTTCAGCTCCGTCGTGTGCCTTCTCGAAAGTCGTGATGCACCGGTTGGAGACGCCGTCCCACAACTTGATGCAGCCGTCCTTGCTCCCGGTCACGTACATGTTGGCGCTAGGGTTGTAATTGACAGAGCATATGGCGTCCGTGTGCTGGTCTTGAGGGTTGCAGGAGACAAAACACTGAAACGTGTTGATGTCGTAGAGCCGAAGAGTGGGGTGCTGGGTCCCGACAAGTATGAAGTCTCCGGAAGGGTGGAAAGAGATGGAGCGCAACATCTCTGCCTCCTGCGGGACAGAGACACGACCGTTACACCACCGACTGCACAACAACTATCTCCAGAGGAGACGTGGAAAACGCTTGGTCGATGCAAAGAGCCCATTAAACAATAATCAGATATGACACAGGTGTGAGAAGGACCAAAGTACTTAAGGTGCCAAATGTCTCTTTCAGCAAACACCTGGGAGCATTAACTGCATAGCTTTTATTCCCGAGTTGCACTCCAGTGAAGCTGGCTGTGCGTTGTCTGAAACAGGGGTCTGCAACCCTGAGTGGAATACATCCTGGCCCACTGCCGCACCGGCTGAACCAGCAGCAGTGCCGACTGGCCAGGGAGGTGGGCGTGTGACGGCACGTGAACCATGCACCAGTGGACTGACCCATGCGCCACCCGTGGCACACGTCCCCGTTGCTGCACTCTAGTTTTACAGCACTGGCCCTCAACCTTTTTGGTAGCAGGGACCGGTTTTCCCACAACTGGGCAAGGCAGGAGGAGGGGATGGGAGGCGGAGCTCACGCAAGCTTCCCTGGAGGCCTGGTCCCTAACAGGCCACAGCTTCCTAACAGGCCACTGACTGGTACTGGTCAGCAGCCTGGGGGCTGGGGACCTGATTTATAGGATGATTATGGAAACTACTTTTAAAAAGAGAATAGTCAGTCACACAACAGCTCATTTTATTTAAGATAAAACGTAAAACTTCTTTCCATACATTCCTAACCTGAATGTACTTGAAGGCTCTTTTTGCAGATGGTTTGGAATAATCAAACAATTTCAAAGTATAATCCCTGGAACCAGAGGCAAGGATCTGTTCTGTCGGGTGGAAAGCGAGACACGTGACTTCATCCACGTGGTCGTACAGAGTCCGGATCACGGGGTGGTTTTCCATGTTCTGCTGTGCAGTCTCGTTCATCATAACCTGGGCAGCCGAGAGAGGAGATGCACAGAGTGAAATCTGTCTGACCCAGAGGACGCGCTATGCAACCCTCCTTATGTAGAGCGGGTTTGCACCCCTCCTTCTCCCCCCACCAAAGGAACAGAAGGCACGGTAAGTACGGAACGGGGACCTTTACCTCTATGGGCATGGCGCTTTTGGCCAGCATTCTTTCTGTGTCAAGGATTTTGATGGAGGCGTCAGCAGACCCAGTAGCTATTAGCTGCCCATCTCTGCTGTAGGTGGCCACTCGGCATGGTCCTTTATGGGATGTGACGTAGCAGGTTTCATACTCCGAAGCCTCCGGGGACATGGTCTGCACATCTGCATCGAACTCCAGGTCAATCCCTGTGCCTGGGGCGACGGTGTCTGAACGACCAATGGCATACTGAACTGCTGTGTCATCATTTTCCATTCCTGAAAGGAGTAAAAATTAAGGGCATGAAAAACGTGATTTTAAAAAGCCAAGACCAAGTTCAGATCTAAACCAGGAAAGATCGCCCTATACCTGACCAAACCAGGCACAGCGACCACACTGTAAGGCAATGTGGTTTGCAGAAGGTGAAGCTTTTGTAAAGTCACCTTGGCTGATTTTTGCCTCCAAAATACAACTTTAGAAACCCAAAAAAGCAGTACTATAAATTGTCTACTTTTTCTCATTCCAGGTTTTAATATTTTTAGTGATGAGACCTGTTACTAGCAGCCGAGACACGCATTAAGCCAGGTATATTGTTAAATAAACTGAAGTTGATCACTGTGTGGTTAAGCCCCGGGCAGGTAGCTCGGCTGGTTGGAGTGATGTCTCTGCAGGCCAAGGCTGCAGTTTGCTCAGGGCACAGGCAGGAATCAACCAATGAACGCACAGATGGGTGGGCAACAAGGGATGTCTCCCTACCTCTAACATCAATAAACTTAAAAAAATGTGTTTTAAACTTAAAACAGCTCCACCCATCGCATAAACAATGTTTATTAGCACAGGAAAAATTAGAAAGGCAGGTGAACAAAAGAACAGACCCGGCCTTCCATCATCCAGAGGTAATTACTATAAAAATGGGGGTACAAATTCTTTTGGACCTCTCTCCATACATGAAGCTGTTTCACTTCTTAAAACGAAAACAGAACCACATTATATGACAAATTCTCACAATTGGCATTGGTAGATCAAAACACATGAGCGTGCCTGGTAACTGGGTATTTCAGGGAGTTTTCTGTGAGCCCGGCAAGCACACAATATGCTGTGGAACAAGAAGAGGCCCTGGTCTTTACAGAGTGTGCAGTTGTGTTGGGGGCGGTACGGACACATGGGCAATGATCCAGGGCCACTGAGGTGACTCCAGGCCACTCTGTGATGAGAGGAGCGAGACTGCATGTCAGAGTAAGTGGGGAGGCGAGGGGATGACCGCGGGGTTGGTTTACAAGAGCTGACGCGGACTCTGGGCCGACAACTTGAGCTGAGACTTGGAGGGAGTCAGTCATCCAGTGTCGGAATGCTCCAACATTCGCCTAAAGATCCTGAGGCTAGAAGCAGCTCGAAGCCTTTATGAGCTGGGTTGTGTTTGCTCTTCAGTGCCTAACACTGCACTTGACACACACACACTGACCCCGGTCATAGGGTCCGTGAACCTGCACCCGTGGGCTACCTAGTTTGATGAGGTGCAGGAGCTGCTCTGAGGGCGCGCACACGGACTGAGGCTTGATCTCGTTGATGAGCCCATTGGCGATGCTGATGTAGCCGTCGTAGAGCAACTGGCTGATGATCAGCTTGTAGAGCTGCTGCCGGTCCTTCAAGCCCACTTTGGTTCTGTACATCTTGGAGAAGAGGAGAACAACTTCTCTGCCAGCTGCAAAAGGAGGAGATAGGTGGGTGGTGAAAGGGAGAGGCACCAGTAAAGCACAGAAGCCACACAGAAGTGGGCTCAGACTCGCGAGGCGCAGACCCTAGCTCTACTACCTCTGCTCAGCGACTCGTCTGAGACCGGGTCCGGAGCTGTTAGCTACGTGGGTGAAGGCAAACAGGACGGGTCAAAGAGAAGTCACTCAGATCACATCAGCTGATTTGACAGAACTTCCCACCTGCATTTTTTCTTTCCTGCTATCCCAGAATCCTCCACTTCTTCTGTTCATAAGATGTTAACTGGTGTTGGCAACAGGTAAGGCAGTGAGTGGCTACCGTTGGATGTCTACATACTACCGTTTCTACCAGCCAAGCTGTACGTTTACTAACCTCAGTTCTGTTTAGGCTTATTTTAAAGCAACTGAGGTTAAGTTACATATTTAGGTGGTATATCAAAAAGTGAGGGCAGGCCCTGGCTGGTGTAGCTCAGTGGATTGAGCGCGGGCCTGCGAACCAGACAATCGCGGTTCGATTCCCAGTCAGGGCACATGCCTGGGTTGCAAACCAGTTCCCTGCAGGCCAGTTCCCAGCAGGGGACGCACAAAATGCAACCATACATTGATGTTTCTCTCCCTCTCTCCTTCCCTTCCCCTCTAAAGATAAATAAATAAAATATTTTAAAAAAAAGTGAGGGCAAAAAACCTATTATGCTATGAAAACTTAAATGCTTTGAAAAGGGTAAATTGTTTAATAAAATACTGGCAAAAAAATATGGCCAAAACAGTAACAAAAACAGAAAAAAGGTAAAAATCTGAAGGAAAGCACTTTCTTTTATTTACAGGTGTCCAAGTTCTCCCTGTCTTAGAAAGTGGAACAGAAAATGGTAGATGGTAAGTTTTTGGTTTATGGGGGGAAAAAAGGACTCTAAATGGAGAACACTAGATAATTCGATGACCAAGCCAGTGTCTACATGTATGTGTACATCGGAATAGATATGGGAAAGCTGGAGGAGCCTGGAGACAGCAATAAACAAAAGTCACATGCAGAGAGGCGGCCATGGCAGGGAAGAAAAATGAGCCGAGGGCACAGGTGAGATGAATATGAGAAAGGAGACGACCGAGTGAGCAGTAACACCAGTACCTCCTAGCATTGCTGTACTTTACAGGGGTGATTCTGGAAGAGGGGGTGTTAGAGGAAAGGGTTTGGAAAACAGTGTTTTCTAACTACACAGCTCCCTCTGGAGAATTACTGAGGCTACTGATCATAACAACAACGAACAATTACTGAGTGTTTATGTTTTATTTGAATCCTCAACACCATCCTATAAAGGAGGTCCTGTAACCTTGCTCACAGATGAGGAGGGGAAAGAATCTGCCCAACTCCCGCAAAACGCCGAGGTCGCCCGGCTACTAAGCGCCTAATTACCATCCTCAATTGCAGGTGAGGACGCCGAGGACATAAGAACCCAACCCAGAACTGGTTATCTTCGGAGCTGGAAGAGGGACCCGAGCGAGAACACAGACAGCCGCTTCCCGGGCGCTCCGCTACCAGCCTGGCACAGACATGAACTAAAGATGCTGAGAGGGAAGGAGGGCTCAGGCCCAGCCTGGCAAGCCAGGGCGCACGCCTCCCCGCTCATCATCACTCCTTCCCGCCCCACCCAAGTCCTTCCCGTGGTCCCCCAAAGGCCTCAGCCCGACCGCACCAGCCGATCCACGGATCCCAGGCCCCCAGTACCCGCTTGTCCAGCTCTCTTAGTCTCCCGCTCTTCTAGAAAAATGGAGGCGAGAATCCTGCCTGATCGATCACTCTGGGCGCACAGCCACTGCGCACGCACAAAGGACGCCGCGCCGAGCGCTGCACTATCGATCGCCCCACTCTCACTCGCCCGTCACGCCATGTTACTTACTGGCACCTTTGAAAGGTTCCTTCACTCCCTCCGACTTTATCTCCTACGAGACGACCCTGACGCTAAGGAGCTTCTGTCTCACAGACGGATAGCACGTCCCTGAGAGCAGTGCTGGTGCTAGAACCTCCACGAGTCTGGCAAGCCGTTGGCTCCCTCACTTCCGGGTCTTTACGGAGAAAGGGCGCCTGCGCGCTGTGTCTGCTTTCCTTGGACACGACTCAATCTGTCGCATTGGCTGTGAACCAATGAGAAGGCAGCACCTCTCTAGCCCAGGCCAATCAGCTTTCCTGTTAGAGAGAGCAATTCCTATTTAAATTGACTCCGAATCGTAACGGCTCGGCTTTCCGAAAGACGCGGCGGTCTTGGGTCCGAGGCCGGAGATAGAGGTGCCTAGCCCTTGGGGCAGCTCCGTGAGGCGAGAGGGCGAGGGCGGCCGGCAGGACGGGTGGGAGAGAAGCGGGAGGTGGGGCCGCGGGGCTTGGGAGGGAAGAGTTGGATTAAGAAGGCTTTCGTCGGCTCCGTACCCCCCTCCGTCCTCTGCCTGTTGCCCCCTCCTCTGTCTGTCCCCGCTTCTTTCTCTCTCTCCCCTCCCTTCTCTGCCCCCTCTCCCCCCCTTCTCTGCCCCCTCTCCCCCTTCCTGTTCTCCGTCCCCCGCCCTAGCTTTCCAAGCTCCCTCTTCATCTGCTCCTGTGTACGGAGGCGCCCTGCCTCCTGGTGTTTATTAAACTCCTGGAGTGGATGGGCTGGGGGGTGGGGTGGGGATGCTTTCTGGTGAGATTCTCGTATTCAGTGAGCACCTGGGTGAGAAAACGTGCAGAAGGTGTTTGCTGCCCTGGAGTTTACGGTCTAGTGGGGGTGGGGAGGCAGACGACGAACTAGCAAGATAACTTCCAATGGTGCTGAGCTTACGACAGTAATAAAACAGCGATGTGTGCGGTTTACCGGGGGACGGAACAGCCAGGGAAGGCCCTTGTCCTGGCTAGGTGGATGAGTGGGTGAGTCAGTGGTTACCTCCTGGAAGAGGCCTTCCTGGCTTACTGCTTCTAGAACCTTAGACGCCCCATGTTTGTTAAACAGGCCCACCTAAATGAGAAGCGCTTGGGCATAGGACTTAGGTGTCTAGTTTCATCGAGTTCTCCAGGTGATTCTGATGTTTCACTGAGAACTAGTGATGTAGCCCAGCGCATACTGGTCTCGTGGGGATGTTGTTAAAATGCAGCTTCTGACTTGTTAGCTCTGAGGCTGGGCCTGGAAGTCTCTCTCTCTAACCGTCCCTGTATTGCCCTTGACTTCTAATGTCTCCTCCTCCTTAACTTTCCTTGATTGAATTTAAACTGTCTTCAGTACCATATTCGTTTCATTTCCTCTCCTCCCTTCGTTATTTGTGTAGATATTAATTAGTAGGTTTGTGAAAGAAGGAAAAGTGTAAACCCACAGTGCTATTATATCTAACAGTTTCCCTGTTTAGAGTAGCAAGATTCCTGGTTTGAACCTGAAGCTCTTATGAAGGTCATCTGGTCATGTGACTGCTGATCCGGCTCTAGACCAGAATCACCTGAGAAGCAGTCTTCCTGGGCCTTTCTCCAAAATTTCTGGATCAGAAGCTTATTCCATTTCGCTTACTATTAACATTCCTGGGAAGAACAGTGTATTATGTTGGAGCAAATGCCTGTAGTTTCTGAAGACTCTCACTGGGCCTATGCGATCTCCTTAGTCTGCAGCTTATGATTAGAAGGGAAAGGGGAGAAAGTGGTAGAGACATTAACATCTTCATAACAGAAGCATTTGTTTCCATCTCTTTTGTCTACTGTTTACACCAACTCACTGTTTGACTTGAGGACTTTAGGCCCTTCAGTTGTAGCCCTGTCTTCAAGGTGGGATGATTTGCATATTGATGAAATAACTGTGAAAGCTTGGGGGTGGGAGTGTTTTCTTATTGGAGTCTGGAATTCAGAGGGCTCGCTGGGGAAGAAAACTATAGGAACATCTCTGCTTTCTTGTTGATCTATTTACGTGGTAGGTTTGCCTGACTCACAGAATGGACTGACTGAGTGTTACAAACTATTTTTATGATTGCTTTGTTAATGGGCTAATTTATTCCCCAAATGTTGGCATACACACTGTGTATGCTCAGGCATGTTCTGGGAGAGACCTGGAACAAAATGCCCTCGTTCTCATGAAGCCTGCTTTTTTTTTTTTTTTTGAGATTCCGAACTGGTAGCTGGATATCTTGAGTCTCAGGACAGTAAAAGCCGACAGTAAAAAAGTACAAGTAATGTTATGTAAGATGTTAAGTAAGGCCTATGAAGAGAAATAAAGGAGAGATGGTCTGAAACTGGAATGTCTGACCAGAGGCGGAATGAAGTGGAGGAGCAAGCCACAGTTTGGGGGAAGAGCTTTATAGGATGGAGGGGAGAGGAAGTACAAAGGTCCTGTGGCAGGGGGCTCTTGAGGAAAGAATGGAGCCCTCTATAGCTGGTGTGCAGCAGACAGGAGGAGATAAGGTCAGAGGTCGTCAGGGGCTTGAGTCTAAGCTGAGTGAGGAAGGGAGTGCAAAGCAAGTGATTGCACTTATCTGCTGCTTGGCACCCCAGGAGCAAGGAGGAGGAAGAGGAGAATGGACGTGTGGCTTGGTCACAGCAGGGCCACTGAGGAGGTGGACTGCTGGGTGTGGGCTCCAGGGAGGGTGAGAGGAGTGATGGGCAGTAGAGGTGACCAGTGAGGACATCTGTTCCAGAGCTTTGCTGTTGAAAGGGGAGGTGAGTGATGTGGTATGGCTTGAGGTCAGTTACGGTGTAGAGAGGACTTTTTTTAAAGGCAGGGGGGATGGAGGCAGGCTGAAACACTGACGGAAGTGATCCCTTTGAGAGGAGATGCTGGAGCAGAGGGGGAGTCAGTTCAGGGGCAGAGTTGGAGCACCAGGCTGGGGGACGGGACCAGTGAGTGCCCCAGGGGAGAAGTTGCTCTTCGGGAGAAAAGGCCCACGCCTGATCGTTGTCACGGGGGAGAACAGTGCTCCCCTACAGCTCCTTTCCAACAGAGAAGATGTGGAAAGTTCTGTGTGCTGTTGGGGCTGTGACCCTGACCTAGCAGAGCAGTACTTTGAAGCAGGTGGGGCTGTATAAATTAAAGGCTCCCTTTTTTCTTTTCAGGCATCATGGACAAATCGAAAGAAAACTGCATTTCAGGGATGGTCAAGGTAAGTTGAATAATGTGACATCAGTCTCAATCATGTTGCCAGAACCCAAACAGAGATCCTTCTTCTTCTGGAATTCTTGTCACTTTCACTTCAGATTTGTAACTTTGGGCTGCTTTTCTCGGCATTCAGGAACACTGTTGACTCTCTCACTGTGTCTTTTTTGTTCTACTTTGTTCTGCATTCAGCTGTTCAAGTCTGTATCACTCCCTCCTGGGCAGGATAATGCTCACAATAGGCGCCCAGTACTTGGCCTGTGTTTGCTTGCCAGAAATCAATTTCTTTGCCACAGTCAGTGTTGGTCTTGATTCGGGGAGTGGTAAGTTCATTGGAATGTCAAGCTCAAGTTAGGGAGTGTTTCCTGGGACCCCACTTTGAACCAGGTTCCTGGCCAGATGCAGGGATTGAGAACACATGGTCTTTGACTTTGAAGAACTTCGAGCAGTGCTGGGGAGGTGTGTGAGCCAGTTCTGTGCCTTAGTGCCCATCAGTAGGACCGAGTACTTCCCAGGAGGGGCAGTCATTTCGGATTGGGATGGGCTGGAGTCCAGGGAGACCTCGGCAGGAAAGACGCCTGGCTCTTGGCGTTGGATGAGTGTCTGCAAGGCACCAGGCTGGCTGACTGCGTCTCTCACAGGGAGACCCTGTGATGGCGGCAATCTCCAGGGAATCAGCTTGAGCATATGTACTGCTCGGGCTTTTGGACGGGGCGGGACTTGTTTTTGAAGTCTTTATCTTTGCGTAAATGGACACTGACCCTTCTTTTCCTGGCCGAAGGAATAAAATGACCAGTTAGAAAAAGGTCAGCCTGAGTCACTGCATTTGATTCTCCATTCTAGTGATAAACATCGTTTGAAAAAAAATAGTTTTATTTAAAATGTCTGTCATTGACTGACTGCCTACTCCGAGTGGACGCTGTTGATTTCAGAAGTGAGCGGCCCCGTGCGTGGAAACCCTCCCGTACCAGTGAGCTGGGGACGGGCTCCGAGACCTCCCTCTGCGGCCACGCTCCTCACGTATGGGGGCATTTCCTCCCAGTAGAGCTGGGGGGCGTGTCCCCCTTATTTTAGTTTGATTGGTGCAGGCTCTTAGAATCAAATAAACTGTTTTAAGTTGGTGGTATTCTACTTACAGGCACATAAATATTATATTTTGGTGATAACTTCTATTTTTTAAAAGATTTTATTTATCTTTATAGAGAGGGAAAGGGAGAGAGAAAGAGAGGGAGAGAAACATTGATGTGTGGTTGCCTCTCTCGTGCCCCCAGCTGGGGACCTGGCCTGCAACCCAGGCCTGTGCTCTAACTGGGAATTGAACCAGTGACCTTTGGTTCACTCAATCCACTGGGCCACACCAGCCAGGGCTATTTTTGTAATAACTTTTTGAACAACCTATGCTTGTTTTCTTTTTGCCAAAATTGTTTTGATTAAGATCCATTTTGTAAGTAGTACTTGGGAAATAATCAGTAGTAATGAGCTTTTTGTCAAAAATCTGGCAAATACAAAAAATTCAGACTATTTTCTTTGTCTTTTAAAACTTCTTCACCCGAAGATAACCACTGTTGAACATTTTGATGTATTTATCCCCTTTTTCCCCCTAAACTCGCGTCATCAAATTTAGTGCCACCAGGATTTCGATGCTAAGCTTCTGTATTGCAGCTTTTCGCTCAGCAATAATTTCTGAGTCATTGAATTCTTAGAAAGTGTTTCTTCCTCTTTAAATGGAAGTTTAGTTAGTGACCACTAGTTTAGGGGAGCACTGTTTTCAGGGTGGGCATGGGGAGGGGTCAGGAAGCATCATTCAGGGGGTCCCTCCGGCCGTACACTGACCGAGTCCTCCGGAAGTGCCCATTAACACAGCCTTCCCCTTCGGTCTGTTACTAGTGACGTTCCTGGTTTCGTTAGAAAACAGATTCTCTGAATATGCAGCTTTGGTTTGTGAAGACCTGAGGCTTCTTTTACTTCTCCCTCCTCGCCCAGCCTACAGTTCCGCCTGGTGACGGCCCGAAGCGCGTCCCGGTGCCTCAGCAGTTCCCCCCGCAGCACCCCGTATCTGCAAACAGTGGCCAGGCGCAGAGGGTCCTGTGTCCTTCAAATTCCTCCCACCGGCCTCCTCCGCAAGCACAGAAGCTTGTCTCCAGCCACAAACCGGTTCAGAATCTGAAGCAGAAGCAGTTGCAGGCAACCAGTGCCCCTCGCCCCGTCTCCAAGCCACTGCATAACCCGCAGAAGAGTGAGCAGCCCCAGCCAGCTGCCCCTGGTAAGTCGGCTTTTGGAGACTCGTTGGGTAGTCATGCTTTCAAGTTGCTTAAAAAAAAAGCAAGTGTATACACTTGTGTTTGCATTGTGTAGAGCCCTCGCTTTTATGTCATTTCTATCTGTGATACACAATATGAAGTTGGGGACAGCGTTTGATGTCAGGTTGAAGTAACAGTGTCTCCTGTGGGCAGGCCTGTGTGAGAATTCAGACCCGACTCCTAGTGTCATGGTCCCTTTGAGGAACTGAGAGGTCCCGAGGTTCTGTAGCCTGGAGGGAAATCGGGGGAAATGGACGGGTTGAGGCCAAGGTCACAGCGGCCCTGTGTGAGTGGGGCTTCCTCCCCTGCGCCCTGGGAAGCTACTGAAAGGACTGTGAGCAAAGGATGGGCGTGCCTGCGGGGAGCTCGCTCTGGCGCGTGGGATGAGCTGGGGTAGTGATGCTGGACTGGGGGCGCCGGACAGTGGCGAGGCCGCAACTGGGTGGGCAGGGCGGTGTTCATAGTCACCATTTAGCTTCCGTGGGGGGCCCGCACACAGCGGGCTCTGAGACGAGTGCTTTCTTCGCCCACCTTGTCTCTTTCAATCCCTGTCACCACCCCATGGAGGTGATCAGGGTCACCAACCCTGTTCCACGGAGGAGGAAGCTAGACTCGGAGCCTTAACAGACTCTGAGACAGCCAGATGGAGAGGCGTAGGCCGGAGAGAAGGGGCCGTGATCGGACATGGGTTACACGGGAGACAGCTTGTAGGTGGCATGTGGACAGTGGGCCGGCCCCCCTAGTGGGGGGAAGGCGACGAGGTGGGAGCTTGTCAGGGACAGAAGGACCTAGTTCTGCTGCAGAAACTCTTCATTTGGAAACCAAGGCTTTGAGGAGAATTTCTCTAGTCTCGAGCCTTCAAATGATTGGCAGGCCCAGGATATAATCCTCGTGTCTTTAGAATAATCTGCGGGTGTCACGGGGGCAGTTGGGGAGGGTGTGGTGGTCTTTGTTCTATAAAATGAACTCAGAATGGCCCAGATCCTTAATTCTAGACATATCATTAATACTTCGGTGACCATTCTGTGATTCATTTCTATTCACAGGTTTTTAACTTACTCTGTATAGTTATTCTAAAAATAGGTTTTTAAATTATTCCGCATAGGAAATAATTCTGAAAAGGAACAGGCATCGAAGCAGAAAAATGAAGAATCAAAAAAGTAAGCATTTCTTATTTCTGAAGTTCTGTGCCGTCATTCTGTCAGAACGCATCATTTACTTACAAATTTAAGTTTGGGAACTCTTTAAAAGGTGAAGAGCTCTTTATATTTTCATTTTAGAAATACAAATTTCTAACCTTTTCCTAACCTTTATAAAAAGAGAAAAGGGATTTTAATGGTGGATATTTACTTAGGGACTTTTTTTTTTAAACTTTAGATTAACACTTGTGTGAGTCTGCTACAGAAGTGTGTAAAATAAAAGGAGTTTCTACCCTCAGAAGTGACCCCTATGTATGGTTTATATGTGCTTCTGTATTTCTGTTCGTATACAGAAGTTCAAGTTTGTTTAAAAAGTGAGGTCGTGTTGCAGAGCCATTAAACATGCTACATGATTATATGGATGTTTCGACAGAGTTCCTGGCATTGCCGTGTTTTTATGCGAAAGCTGGCGTGTTGCCCAGGCATTTTCTAAAAGCCTGCTGCCAGTCTCCGGAGTGTTAGACTGTAGAGCACAGGAGGAGGGGCTGGGAATGGGCCCGCACGTTTTTCACGTTAGCTGCCTAGCAGAGACTTTCTGGGCCTCTAATGGTTCTGCCCCCAGCTGCCTGTGGGATCCATCCCGCTTGCTCTGCAGGAGGGGGTCTCACCGCCCAGGGTTAGCATCTCCAGGGTTGAGAGGAGGCTGGTTTGTTTGCCTGCGCCCCACAGGTGGTTCTGAGGCCTTTGCCCCTCCCCCTGTCCTTACCTAGCCCTTGTTGTGGTCTTTGGTGTCAGTAGTCAGTCTCTGTGCCTTTGACACCCCCTTGAGTGTGTCGGCACTGGAAGTCCCGAGTACTTGTTACTCATGGAACCAGTGGCTAGCTGGGTGGGGAGCAGGGCGGTTAATGTCTGTGGCGACTCATTAATGGTGGCATTGGCTTGTTTTGGCAGAGGGTATGTTCTGAATACAATAAATATATAAAATTATTTGTAGGGTGTGTCTCCTGATTAATTGTTAGAAAAGATTTGTGTTCTCGATCTTTAAAAATGATCATATTTTCCCCTAGAAGGCAATGGGCTTTAGAAGATTTTGAAATTGGTCGCCCTCTGGGCAAAGGAAAGTTTGGGAATGTTTACTTGGCGAGAGAAAAGCAAAGCAAGTTCATCTTGGCTCTGAAAGTCTTATTCAAGGCTCAGCTGGAGAAAGCAGGCGTCGAGCATCAGCTGAGAAGGGAAGTCGAAATACAGTCCCACCTCAGGTGAGACGTCAGGTGGCCTTCCAAAGGGTGTGGCTCGGAACTTCGTTATTAAGATAAACGATTATAAAGTTCTTTTTAGGAGGCCTGCTTCATAGTCCTGCAGAACGATGAAATTTGTCATTTTTCAATGATTTTTCTAGACTTATCTTCTATGGTCCTGAAAACTATTTTGAAGATTTATGTTAATGGAGTGATTTACACGAATAATTCTTATCCTTCTTTTGGTTCATCATGAGGGGAATGATACTTCTTAGTCTGAGCTGTGGGCAGAAGTTACACAGAGTCTGCAGGTTGGCTTTGGTCAGTGGGTCTTTTTTTTCTTTCAGTGTTTTTCCAAACAAATCGGTTGCTGACAGTTGGCCTGTTCGATGGCAGCCTCCCTGCTGGGCAGCCTCTGGCTGGGGTTGAGACGGTGATGGCGGGGACAGGCTGTGCTCTCGCCGCCTGGAGTCCCCGGCCACGCACCCTGGGGGCCGTTCTAGAGGAAGAGTGATTTTAAATTCTGTCCACGGCCTTCAGTATCCAGCTACTGTGGGGAAGCCATGTCTTTTTCTTTTAATTTGAAGGGAATTCAGGTTTAGCTGAGTTCTGTTCCCCGTAGAAATAAACACTGCCTGTGGGAAGGAAGTAGTAATCTTAGATAAACCGAATTACCTTGATATGCATGGAAACTGATACGTGGATGTGTGTATTTTTCTTAGAGTGGGTCTGTAGTTTCAGATTTCCAAGTTGGGGGGCCAGGGTGGGGGGCCCCGTGAGCAGAAGCAATTTTTACGTGAAGGGTTGGTTTGGTATTGAGCGCGTACTCTGTGGTCGTGGGTCTGCTTTGAAGATAAGCCAGGAGTTAGAGCGGTGATCATTTGTTGCAGGCACCCAAACATCCTCCGGCTGTACGGCTATTTCCACGATGCCACCAGAGTTTACCTAATTCTGGAGTACGCGCCCCTCGGAGCCGTCTACAGAGAACTCCAGAAGCTGTCCCGGTTCGATGAGCGGAGGACCGCCACGGTGAGTGTCATGTGCTCTCCAGACCAGCCCCGTCCCCACACCCCGCACCCTGCACCCGCAGTGAGGGGGCTCCTCTTGCAGTGGAGGCTCAGTGGGACCGGATGCTGGAAGGGGAAGGGTCAGCCGCTGTGCCGTGTGTGCGGACACAGGCAGGTACCAGGTAGAGTGCTGGGGCTGGTTTGTTTCAAAGCAGTTTTTCTGTGAAGTGTATGTGAATAGTTGCCTTAAAAAATGAACTATTAAGGAATAACTTTTTGCAGAATAATTGTGAAGATAAGTACAGGCCTGTTTTCTCCTCGTGATGACACACACACCTAATTTCCCCTATTCATAGTTTCCCTTACTTAGTGCGGCACATCTGTCACCGCTCATGAACAAGTAGTGATGCACAGCTGGGTTCAGATTTCCTCGGTTTTCGTTTTCCTTGTATCAGCCTGGGCTCTGGGCTTTTGAGAGGAAGATCACAGAGGACGTGTGCAGTCCCATCACATGTCCAGGGCATGCACTGACCGCTCATGGTGGGCGGTGGCCTCGACTCCCCGGCCGAGGTCGCCGTGGTCACCCCTCTCCCCGCAGAGTTGCTCTTTCTCCCCAAACTGTGCCGCTTCAGGGGAGGTGCTCTGCCCGGCCGCACTGAAGGAGTTGGGGTGATTACGTTCCAGCTCCGGTCCGGCAGAGTGCCTGCCTACGTTATTTTGGACCTTCTCCTTACGTATTTACTCAGCATTTATTAATATGGACTCCTCAATATTGTGTACTGCGAGCTACAACCCAACGGAGTTTTATTTTGTTGCTGGAGTTGTTCCAGTTTTGTCCGCTGGGAGCACTGTTACGTGGTCCCTGTGTTGTTTGACGCTCCCCTTCACAGTGGACGTGTGGTGGTGGCTTTTTAGTTCAAGCTTCCTGACACTGCAGGACGCTGCAGTCTTGTCTTGTGTATTCCCACCCCGCCCTACAGTGGTTTCCTCCGTAGAGCCCCGGTGCCTTTACTGGAAAATGTTACTGGGAACCAAGATCTGGTGGCCAGGTGCGCTCATTGCTGCTGAGTGTTCGCGGTGCTCAGCGGACAGAGAAAGCCGACGAGTGCTGATCTGTGTGTTTGCCTGCGCCTCTCAGCAGTCCTCTGTTTATCCACCTGCGTCTGCATTAAGCAAAGCACGAGTCCATCACCTCGCTTTTCCATGACCTCCCCCTCCTTCTACCACCTTCCATCCAGTGATTTGGTTACTCGGTGCTCGTGTGCACGGACGGTGGCATCAGGATGCTTAACTGGTTACCCCCACGGGGAACAGCTGGCACACGCGCACTGAAGATTCATCTGTGTCTCTTCAGGGGTTGCTACGGCCCGTTTCTTTGCACTGAGGGGATAGTGTTGGGTCGTATGGTTGTATCACGTCCAACCCTTCACCTGCTGAAGGGCACCTGGGTTGCGCCCAGTGTTTGGTGGCTGTGAAGAAAGCTAACATCTGCCTGTGGGTTTTTATGCTGCATGGGTCTTCAGATCCGTTGGGTAAACACCTGGGGGAGCACTTAACCGTGGGCTTGCGTAGTCAGCGTGCGTGCGTGCGTCTCTGGAAGGAGCTGGTCGGGTACCTCCGGAAGTGGCTGCACCACCTTCGCGTTCGCACCCGTGAGCGAGGTTCCCTGCTATCCCTCATCCCCTCAGCCATGGGTGGCGTCACTTTTTGGGTTTTAGCCATTCTGACAGGTGGGGAAATTGTGTCTCATTGTTTAATTTGCAATTCTCTAATGACACATGGTGTTGAGAATTACTTCATGTGCTTATGTGCCATGCACATCTTTGGGGTGTAGGTTTAGATTTTTTTTCTCATTTTGATCATTTTGCTGTTTTTTTTTGTCATCTTAATTGTTGAGCTTTAATTGTTCTTACATTTTAGATACAAGTCCTTTACCACATGTGTGTTTGACAAATGTTTTCTTGTCTGTGGCTGTCTTTTTATTCTCTTATCTGGGCTTTTGGCAGGACAGACATTTCAAATCTTCAAGTCCAGGCTGCTGGGTTTCTGTTTTGGGGTGGTGTTTTTACCCCCCGTGGGTTGTGCTTCTGTTCTATTTGAATGGAATTACTTGCTTGAAGACGTTGAAGAGTCTTAATTTGGGCTATTTTTAGCGAATTGGCGGATGAGGGGCCTGTTGTACGGCGATTGCTGAGACCCATTCTGTTCCTTGGTGGAGGTCTCTGGGCACTGTGCACACTGGTTTTCTTTCTGGCATCGATTGAAGTGGCATTAAATTCAGGAGGCTTTCCTGTCTCCGAAATCACAGCCCTGTGGGTGAGGGATGCTCTGGTCTGGTCTGGGCACTGAGGACGTGCTATTTTAATCTGGACTGATTGCTCTTCACATAAGTAGAAATAGATCTGTTTTATTTGCTCTTACAATATTAGCTCACCAGATTAGTTGGTTATTTAATTGGCAGTTAATACTCCTACTGCTCAGTTTTCTTCAGTCCAGATGGAGTTCACTGTGGTGTGGACAGGTACTGAAAGAAAACCAGACTTGTTCTTTTTAAGATTCCATGGTACTTGGGATGAATGGGCGCACACACACCCCTCCTTTCCTATCTGATGAATTCAAATGAAACCCACCATGCAGAACTGGTAAGGAGCCACCCCGACCTGCGGTGTGCCATGGGAGGTGTGGAGGACGTGGCACCAGAGAGCCCTGGTGTGCTGAGAGCCGCTTGTCTTAAATTGAGCAGGCAAATGCGCCCTTTCCTGGCGTTCTGATGTCATAGAAGAGCGTTCTGTCTTCTTCGCTTTCAGTTTGTTGTGGCCTAAATTTTGGTGTCTGGCTTTTGGCTGAAAAAATGAAAAATGTCCTTTCTGACAATCATGTTTGGTTTCTACCTTTGTTTAGTAAACCTTTTCTGGTGTGGCATAATGTTCAGTCCTGTCTAGCAGTTACTTTTGGAAAATAGCCTCGAACTTTAGCCAGAGCTAAATATATTCTTTCACTATATGGACAACAATTCTCATCTGTGTGTTAAAGCAATGTCTGGACTTGGCTGACCTTTCCTCGGTTGTGATGGAAACAGCACTCACTGAAGGGCTGACTCGCTTGTGTACTTTTAAGCTAATGATTAGTTTGTCTGAAATTGAACGTGCCAGTAAACCTGCTTCTAGTTTCTGTTTATTGTTCAGGAATATTCTTCCACTCTGATATTCTTAGTGTACATGTTTATACCTTCAAGCAAATCCTTCTGTTGTTAGTTGAGCTTAGTTTTAAAAATGGGAATTGACTGTTCTTTTTTATTGTTTTTAAAAAGATGTTTATGTCTGAGTCCCTAATTTGTAGTGATTATTCAGTAGTGTCTTAATTGCTAGGACATTAATTGTTATGTGGGAGTGTAGTTACAGCTCATTGTTTTCCTTGTCTTTTGATATGTTTTCTGCTATATTAGCAAATAACCTCCCACTGAATAACTTCATGCTGAACACTAATTTGGTTCCATTGATTTTTTGAGTCATCAGTTTGGTTTTAAGCTTTTGCTTTAAAATGTACAAGACATGTTAAATATTTATGCTGGGTTTTCTTTCAGAAGAGATGTCTAAAATTGTCACAAAATCTAAAACACAGGTTTTTAACACTTTTTTTTTTAATAGTATATCACAGAATTGGCAGATGCCCTGTCTTACTGCCATTCAAAGAGAGTTATTCACAGAGACATTAAACCAGAGAATCTGCTCCTTGGATCAGCTGGAGAGCTTAAGATTGCAGATTTTGGGTGGTCCGTACATGCCCCGTCGTCCAGGTACGTAACCGTGGGACTTGCTGGGTTTCTCGAAAGCCCTGGGGGCTGATCACAAGCCAGACAGTGAACTGCCGAGCGAGGGGCCTGCAGAGTCGGGCAGGTGACCGACAGGGCGCTCCGCACTGAGTTGGGCCCGGTGGGAAAATGGTGTCTTCGGGGACGTTTTTATTCTACGGCCATTGGGCCATTTATTGCAGCCTAGACGCTGAATGGGACAGGTAGGGTGTGAAAAATGCACATCTCCTCGTGTAGGCGAAGGAGAGGTGCAGGGCGCAGAGGGGCGTGGCCCTGGCACCGCGGTGGGCGGGACCAGTTCTGGGCACAGCACCTTCGAAGGCCCAGAGCGGAGGGCGCAGTTCTGCCGGAGCTTCAGCAGCTAAACGGCCCCCTCGGACGGAACTGTCAGGGAGGTGGTCCGGGAGTCTCTCCGGTCTGCTGTTGTGGACAGCAGTCCTTTCCCGTCCCCTCCTAAAACCAAGCGAAATTTGAATCTTGGGTGAACTTTGCAACCAAGAGCTAAGATATTCTCTACTGTTCTAAAAGTAATTTGGGTTTAAATGAGCTTTTGAGACCACGTGAGAAGGAGAGCATTTAAGAGCATTTAAAAGCAAAACCATGTTAGAAGTAGTGATAGGAGTTTGTCCACTTTGGGGTAGGACTTAAAAAATTATAGCCAGTGTACTTTAAAACATAAAGCTAGTTTGTTTGTTTTTAATGTTAAAAATAAAGCTCGTTAAGAAAAAAGTCGTATAGCCTAAGTAGTTGCCCCCGGGCGGATGAGCTTTGTTTTTGTCACCAACCACTTGTGATTGTTTCTAGCAATGGGTTGAATCTGCTTTTAAAAAAATCTGGTTGTCTGCCACTAGTGGGCGCTGTTGCACCGGTGAGGCACTCAGTGACTTGTAGGCTTTGTGCAGCCCAGGTTTAACTAAAAGTGTCCCTTAACTGTCTGGTGGTGTCGCCGTGATGGGAGAGATAACTGCCCTGTTCTGGAAAGGACATTTATGTCAGTGTTGATGGTCACTTTACCCCGTCTCCCAGATGTTATTAACCAGAGAGCTAGCTGCCCGGTCACTGGGTTTGGTCTCCGTTGTCACAGTGCTGACGAGAACGGCTGGGTGTCTGCAGAGCTGGCTCCTTACCACCAGTCGCCATCTGGTCGAGTGAGCACTGTGTGCTCGCTGGGCTGCCAGCGTGACCCGGTGTAAGCCTGGGTGGCGAAGAACTGGTAGAGAGCACGAGCCCGCCCGGTGTCTGTTTGGGTCTGTCTGCCACCCCAGCTCGTCTGCAGCCTTCGTTAGAAAACTCACGTAGACACGCTGAAGGCAGCCGCACAGCCGACTGCCCAGCGCACAGTCAGCAGTGGACATGCTGCTCTGTGGGCTGTGCCTACTTTTTTGGTGAACCTTCAAAGACAAGTTGCAGGTTCCTTGTCCTTGGAGCATCTTCTAGAAATAAGGACATTGTCCCATCTGGTCCCAACCACTGTCGCTCTTAAGAAAATAACTGTGGTAATAGCCAGCACTTAGCCCATGTTCTGATGTTCCCAGTTGTCCACAAACTTGGATAACTGTTCTTTTAAACCAGAATCCAACCAAGGTCCATGCGTTCTATTTGTGTCTCTTCAGTCTAAATTTAGACCAGTTGCCCCACAATTTAAGATGGATTTTTCTGACTGCGGTGTCACTTGCTTTTGTCCTTTATCCTCTGTATTTGCTGAAAATAGGGAATTGGGCATAAGGGCTTAAAGGATATTTTTGGCAAGAATACCTCACAGGCCACTCCCAAATTTTAGTATCTTTAGCACCAATGATGTTAGAAGGCAGCATGTACCTACAGCCCCAAATCTAGTGCTTTTGCATTGGGACAGTTTCTTGTCCTAATGTCACCTGGCTTTGAAGCCTTTTAGCATGTCTGCCTTGTAAAAACTACAGGATGGTAAATTGTACTCACAGAGAACTTTGCATGGCTGCTGTTATGTGGTAGTGATCGGACGAATTGGGGTACAGTTTGGTTGCTGGCTGTGACCTTGCACAGCCCCCCACAGGCCGTTTGCTGCCGGAAAGTGGAGGTTTACACAGGACCTACATCATAGCCCAGGATGTGGCCTGGGAGGAGCACTCAGCCAGTGTCAGGGAGGCCGTTAATGACTTCCAGCAGCTGCTGCGACCACTTAAGCAGGCGCGCCAACCTGGGCCTCCCTCGTTTCTAGGAGAACCACCCTGTGCGGCACACTGGACTACCTGCCGCCTGAGATGATCGAAGGCCGGATGCACGACGAGAAGGTGGATCTCTGGAGCCTGGGGGTTCTTTGCTATGAGTTTTTAGTGGGGAAGCCCCCTTTTGAGGCAAGCACATACCAAGAGACCTACAGAAGGATATCGCGGGTAAGACACAGCTCGGAGGGACCGCCACTTCTGTTAGAGCCCTTTCTGTCCTGCCAGCCTCCCCTCTAGGCTGCGGTCTGAATACTTACACTGTTCTCTCTAAACCACGTTTTGTGACCACCTGTCACTTATCGTACTCCAGGTTGAATTCACGTTCCCCGACTTCGTACCAGAGGGAGCCAGGGACCTCATTTCAAAACTGTTGATGCACAACCCCAGCCAGAGGCCGACCCTGAAGGAAGTGCTCGAGCACCCCTGGATTGCCGCTAACTCCTCCAAACCGCCGAGCAGCCAGAAAAACAGAGAGTCAGCCGGCAAGCAGGCTTAAGGCTCCTGCGGGGGAGGACCCTGGGAGCCCGGGCTGCTGTGGGACCCGCTGGAAACACACCTCTTGACCTGCCTTGACGCCGACGGCCTGCCTGCTACCTGCAGCCCTGTGGAGAATAAATATATGCACGTTATTTTACTGAGCAGGCCGTACGTCGTGCTCCCCACCGGAAGTTCCACCTCAGTAAACGTGCCACTGAAGTAAAAGTCGCCACGAGAATTGTGCTGACTTCACTGGTTTCATCATCACGAGGCGAGGTTCAAGGGCAGCCGCCCTGCAGCCTGTTTGGACTAAGGCATCCTTGCCAAAGGTGACCTGGAGCCCATGGTGGCAGTGGCCCCTGTGCTGTGACCCGGTCGGTACAGCGCTGTGCAATAACCTCCCAAGTTCCTGAGCGTGTGTGTAATTTATTGGGTGGCCACACCTGGGAAAGCTGTCGGAATGAGTATGTGACTTTTAAATATTAAAATAAAGAGATGTGCGTAGACTGTGTCCTTCCGGAACGCTCTGTCGCCCCTACACCTGCCGTCTGGTCCTCCCTAACCACTCATCTTTTGTCCGAGACTGTAAACTGGGGGCACGTGCTCTACCTCCATCGCGGGACTTGCTCGGGACGCAGAGGAGACGTGTGTTCCGGCCAGTTCTAAATGTTCAGGGCTTTTACAAAATGTTGATGTTTTACATGTTGTTTTTGTAAATACATTAAGACATATACAAAATGGTTACTCTCTGAAGCTTTTTTTTTTTTTAATTTTAGAGGGGAAGGGAAGGAGAAAGAGGGAAACATCATTGTGTGGTTGCCTCTTGCGTGCCCCCTGGTGGGGACCTGGTCTGTAATCCAGGCTTGTGCCCTCACTGGGAATCGAACCAGGGACCATTTGGTTTGCAGGCCAGCACTTAAACCACTGAGCCATATCAACTGGGGCTGAAGCTTTCATGTTTTACCTTGACAGTTGCAGTGTGTTCCAGGAGTCCACACAGCAGCCCCTGAGAACCGCCAGTGTCCGCGTGGGCCTGTGTGGGGAGGCAGGATGGGCCGTGGGGCCAAGGTCCTAGAGCCAGCCTGGCCTGTGGACACCCCTCCATCATCCCCTCACCCACCCGGCAGAAGCTGGGGACACAGCTTAGGAGGACAGCCACTGACCACGGGGTAATGAGCTGGGAGAGGTCTCTAGATGAGGGGGCATCTGAGGCTTGGAGGACAAGGGAGGACTTGCAGGTTGGAGGCTGGTGTGGTGAGAAGTTGCTACTGCTAATGGGGGACAGTGGGGAACCTGGCACAGAAAGGGGGAGCAGTGGCTGTGTGACCTCGTGGCAGAATCCCTCATCCCTCCCCGAGCCAGGGTCTGGGTGTGACCTGTGTTCCTTGTGGTCTATGAAAGTGGAAGCCCCTTGTTCACCTGGCTCCCCGGGGGGCTTATTTCTGTTACATTGGAGTTACAGTGTGTGTGTGAACTCGAAACAAACACAGTCTGGAGCACACGGGTGACTTTTCACCTGTTCTCCATCGGCCTGGAAATGAGCAGACGCCGTGAGATACCATTTTTGCTCTCATTCTGTGTGCCTCCTGATGTGTAAAGTCACCTGTTTCTAACTGCCAACATCATCCGCTCAGCAACTGAAGACGGTGGACTTGACAATGAAGGAAAAGGTGGAAGGGTTGAACTGAGAACTAGCAGAGAAAGATGCTTTCATGGCTGACATTCACTGCAAGAGACCAACTATCAGAAATGTCCCAAATATAATAAGGAAGTGGCCGACATCCATTTCCGGCAGAGGTGATGAAGTAGTCAGGCAACTTCCGAGGGACTGAGCGGAACCGCAGTGTGCAGTTGGCCCCCGAGGGGTGCAGGGCTTGCTTTGGTTCCCCAGTCTCGAAGCGCCCCAGCTTTCAACTTCCCAAAGTAGTAATAACTAGTTCATGTACATCCATGGCAGCTGCGGAGCATAGGACGTGACTAACTTCAGTGACAGTAGCTAAACTCCTGTCACTTCCCCAAACAGAACCCCATACAACAAAGAAATCAGTTCACTGTAAGGGCACTGCTTCATAGTCAACAGTTAATGGCTTTCCAGAAGAGCAATTCAAGTTTCAGAAACTTCACAAAGATGTTTATTTGTTTCATAGCATTTAAGTGGTTCATTTTGTCAGGTAAAAAAAATGGGAGGTGAGAGAGTGGCTTTACATTTTTAAAATAGATCATTTTATTCCTAGTTGCATAAAAATAGTGTAAATACAAGCAGTTTGCACATCTTGATGGTGAACTGACAATGATTCTTGAGTTCCTCCCCCTCTCCAGCTCTGCTGTCCTGGCCACTGGCCGCAGGAGAGGGCCGAGTGGAGGTGTGGGAGGGACGCTATGGCTATTTCATGGGGTGAATCGTTTTATTGCTTTTGCCCATCCAATCCACTCACATCACTCCAAACAGTCAGAGTTTAAGATTTAAGCCCTTAAGCCCATAGGAGTCCCTGTCAGCTTTTCTGCATAGGCATCATAGGGATTCCGTGGGGAGATGGGTGCGGAAGGGGGTCGGGCCCAGAGCCGTGGTTGAAAGGAAGACCCGCGGAAGTGAAAATGCCGGCTGGTCCACAGGAGGGAGGACCCCGCACTGGCATCGGGCAGCCTGCCCAGCTGTGTAGGTGTCCTTAAACTTAGGTCCCAGGGAGGCAGTTCTGACATTTAAGTTAGTAAAACCTTTTGGCAATGAGCTAATTACTTTAAAGGGGGGGAAAAATATGGATCCACTTTGGAGACATTGCAAGTGGGGAATTCGTCCCTTAATGATTTTTTTTGAAACGTAAGCAATTGACATGGGTCCCCAACAGCCAACTAGGTAGGGATTGTGAGTCGCTAGGTCAGAAAATCATTGAAAAATAACTAAAATCAATTAAAAATTAAAAAAAAAAAAGAAAATCAGGATGTTAGCTTATAGTTTTAGTTTTGTTTGTCCCAAATGTAACTGAACTTAAAAACACGGGAGCCAGGAAGTGAACACGAGGAGCTGCCCTGTGCAGGGCGGCAGGGCGGAACTGGTCAGTGGGGTTCCCGGAGCTGGAGTCGGCTCGGGCTCAGCAGGAGAACAGCAGCGCATGAACCAGCGCAGGCTCCACAGGAAGGGAGTGGAGAGGCAAGTCCTCCCCTCCCTCCTGGCTGCTATTATTTCACAGTTGTCTTCCACTTATGGCAAGTGCTACTAACTTTCCTTTTCAGAGAGTGATTAAAAATTTTTTTCTTAACTGCACATAACTTGAACTCAATTGAAAAATATAAGTAGCAACACGATGTAAACACTGACAGCTCTGGAATATCTGGAGTTTGAAATACAAGTTGGGCAGATTGTCTTGGCTCTGCGCGTGTGCAGTGCCCCCGTTCCTCTGAGGACGTGGGCGTCGGGGGCCGGGGGAGGCCATTACCATTGGGCACGTTGCCACATTCTACCCCAAATGGAGGAAATGACCCTGAGCTACTCTCCTGAAATTTGAGAAAAGGCCCCTGAGGCAGGCCCCCATCATGTCCCCATTGGGAGGGGCTTGGGGGCCAGGGCAACACACCAGATGTGCTTGTTCTTCTGTCCCTCAGACACGTGTAATGAATGTGAAGGCGTTGATGCTGATGCAGGTCCTGGTTACAGCGCTCGGTCTTCACTCCTGCCTCATTCACTGTAGCGCCCGCAGCCGCTTTGCAGAAGACTGCACGTTAAATAAACCGCAGGCGGCCCGACTACAAATGCTGTGGGAAGGGGGATTTCAAAATCGGCTTACTGAACCCTTCGTTGCTCTTCAAGAACTTGGACTAAGATGAACCCTGGGGCTTCTGCAGAACAACCCTCACCAACGACCCTCCAGAGGAACGTTGTGGAAGCTGACAACGGCTTACAGTGACGCCCCATTTGTGATGTGTTGCTGACATTTTAGGTCATGTATACAAGCCCTACGGTAAACTTCTACAATGTAACAAAATTTATAAAGGAAAAAAATGACAATTATTCAAACACCTGAATTTTGCTGGCCAAAGTAAAACACCCAAGAGAACACAGAAAGTAGCCCCGGCCCCCCATCCCCACTGGAAAAACAACCGAAACCCTAAAATCCCCAAACCAGTCCAAATGTGTAAAGCAAAAGGAACAGGTTTTCAGGCCACTGTCGCGGGGCTAGCTCTTCAGGGCTTCGCAGCCGGAGGTTTAAAGAATCCCACTCTCCGAAAGTACCTGACGACCAAGGGCACGGAGACTAAGGTTGCACTGATCCTCACAGGCGCGAACAGCTTGTGGACGGCGTAGGCCACCACGAAGGTGCCCGTGCCCGTGGCCATTTTCGACTGCACCAGCGACTCTCCGAGCCCGAGCTTGAGCAGGACGGCAGACATGTCCACGCCACTGGAGGGGAGGGGGGCAGAAACAAAACCGAAAACCCCCGTTACAGCCAGGAGGGAGCGGAGACACCGATCTGGCTCTGAGGGTTACATCATTTTAGAAAACGTGAAAACAGCAGCTTGATGAATAAAAAGCCCCAGGACAGAAAGTTCTTACCCACGAGGAGTCTCCCGTGACCATATGAAACCCACGCTCGTTGCGGCCAGCAGCGGCCTTACCTTGAAACGAGCAGGTAGAACATGCCCAGGGAGACCAGTGAGATCCCAATGTGCAGGCACACGCCGACGGCTCCGTACTCTCGGAAGACCTTCTTCAGCTGCTGGGACTTGGTTTGCTTTTTCTCCTCTGCGTTGCTCACGTCACTGCCTGTTGTTGTAGTGGTTTTGCTGGGGTCCTGAGCACAAACCAAAGAAGGGGACACCCTGTAGGTCAGGAGCAAGGATGAGAGCTGGTCATCACCAGCTTTTATACTCAGAGTGTTCCAGTCTCTCTCCCACCTAAGGGGAACTCAACTCCCTCTTTCTTACTTAGCGAGCCCCGGCTAGTGTCCCCTTAGCCACTAAGTACAACGAAAGGCTGGGTCCCAGGTATCGTGGACAGAATCACGGCCCCAGACAGTCCAGGTCCTTGTCTGCAGAACCTGTAGCTGTCACGTGCCATGGCCAAAGGACTTTGCAGATGTGATTAGGTGAAGGATCTTGAGTGTGACCCTGTAATCACCGGGGTCCTTCTAAGTGAAGAGAGGGCGGCAGGAGGGTCCGAGGAGCAGATGTGAGGACGGCTGCGGAGTCAGAGGCTGGAAGACGCTCTGCAGCTGGGGGAGGAAGGGGCCTGGAGCCAGGGCCCAGGAACGCGGGAGCCTCTGGGAGCCAGGGGGACAGGAAGTAGATTCATTTCCCTGCAGAGCCTCCAGGAGGAACCGGCCCAGCCAACAGCCTGGCTCGAACCCCGGGACACTCAGTTTCGTTTCTGACGTATAGAACTGAAAAGGAATACATGTGTTGGTTTAGCCCACCAGGTTTGTGGTTACAGTAGCAGGAGGAATGAACGCCTTAGGGCTCACACGCTTGGGGACAACATCGCACCGAGCACTGACTCGGAGCCAGGCAGCACGCATGGGCTTCTGCCCATCCGTCGCCCGCTTTCATCCGCACAGTAGCCTGTAGGTCGATACGGCTGCTCTTTCCACCTAGCAGAGGACCAGCATGGGCTTCGACAGGCTGGGGCACTGGCCCAGAGTCACAGAATGAGAACTCGTGGGTGGAGTCCACGGCAGGAGCCCACCACAACCATGCCAGATGCCACAAAACCAGCACTGTGGGTGCCAAATATAAGCGAGCAGAAGTGACAGTCTATTTACTTCCAGGACCAAGATTCACCTCCGGGGTCTGCACAGATAAAGGAAGGGCTGATTCCCGGGCCACACACACACTGGCTGGGACTTGTACAGAAACAGTTCAGGGCACGTGGCGTCTGCGGGCATTAATTCAGGACAATGGGGTCTGCCTTGTGGGGGAGAAACAACAAAACCTGCAGCGCTGGATTAAACAACAGCGACAGAGACTCCAACTCCTTCCCAATACAGAAAGCGCCCTTTTTATCAGAAGATTCCTTTAACTGAAGATGGATGGCGGCGGTCTTCTCGGCAGGTCGTATCTGGGTCAGCGCTAGATCTGGCCTCTGCAGAGGCTCAGGATGCCTCTTCCCTGTGTGTTTAGGGCCACGCTTGACAGGCAAGAGGGAGGCGCGTGACAGACAGCCCGGGATACCTGCGAGGTAGGGGCGGGACCCGCGGGAATGAAAATGAAGTCCTCCGGGACAGCAGTGCATACAACCCCCACCCCCACCCCAGGGGTCCTCCCGGCCTGCCCCAAGCTGCTCCAGGCGGCTGACCTTTGGGGGAGGAGCCCAGGTGGCCCAGAAGCTGCTGGTCTGTTCGCCCAGAATCTTCCTTGATTTTTAATCACACACAACAGTCCCCCCGCCGCCCCGCACGGAGTCTGTACAAAACTCAGATTTATAAGGTAAATGAGTCCTTTCTTTACTTTCCATTTGAAAGAGCATCTCCTTTGTTCCAAAACCATAGTTGGAACTGAAAAAAAAAACAAAAAAACACCCCCGCCCCCCGCAAACCCAAAACACCCAGAAGCGATGAAATGGCTCAATAAAAGAGGCATCCTGAGGATGCTGGTGCTTTTCCTAAAAAATGAAATTTGTTTCATTAAAGGCTATTCCCATCCCCGGGGAATTAAACGTGAAGGCCGCCGTCCCAACTCAGCCAGCCTATAAGCGCAGCATCAGATAAAGGCACTTGGATCAGATCATCGGGTTCCTCCCGCCTCTCTCTCTTGTGCGTTTCTAACACTGAGGATGTGTTTATTGATTTTAGGGAGCGGGAGAGGGAGAGAAATATTGATGGGATGCCTCCTGCATGCACCCCAACTGGGGACTGAACCGACAACCCAGGCATGTGCCTGACCGGGAATTGAACCTGCAATCTTTTGGTGCATGAGACAACACTAACCAACTGAGCTGCACTGGTCCCGGCAAGCACAGCATTTTTTTGGAAAGGTTTGAGGAAAACCACCAGTGTCCTCAGGTCGAGCCTCTTCTATGGAGCCTGGTGCTGGGCTGAGCAGTTTAAAGGCTTCATTTCTCAGCAGCCCTCACGATCCTGTCCTGGGGCCACCCTGTCACTCCCTCTTCGACAGACAGGACAGGAGGTTCGGAGGGAAGCTCGGCTCCTGGACTGCTCACCACTCAGCCACACGGCCTCTAAGCCCATCACCAGATTCCCCATTATGTCCTGTAGGAGCGGGCCATTCCCGAAGGAAGACACCCCCAGAACCGCCAGGCTCTGGAGGACAGAAGGAAAGCCACGGCTCCTTCTCGTGGGCCAGCACGTGTGACGTCCTGTTCCCCAAAGCCCTGGACTGTCTCCGAGGTCCGCCAGCCGGAACGGCTGCTCTCTGACGAGCAACTGCAGACGGGGAGCTGCCAGATGGTGGCTCTGATAGGACGAACCACCCACAGTCGGCAGTGCCAAGTGCCCAACAACATTCCGACCAGGGCTGGTGTTGGCTGGGAGCCCTTTCCACCCCCACCCCGACCAGACTAACGTACCCATCTGCCCACTCATCAGGACCAAGTGTGGCTCTCTGTGCAGAGGGCCCTTTCCTTTACAACCTTGAGTTTGACAAGAGGCCTCTGGCCAGACCAGAGACATAAAAGGCAGCCAGGCTTCCAGCTACAGAGTAACCGGCACCTGTTGCAAGGCGGTGGGAAGGGCGGAGTATTCAGACCCAAGGCCCGGTTTCCTGTCAACAGCATCACGGTTATTTTTTAACTTGCTTGAGTTAGAGTCTGACTTGGACAATTTTCTTCCTTCTCTCTGGCTGGGTGAAAGGCAAACCCTTTAAGCATCGTGAGCCGAGCCTCCTCCTTTCCAACCCTGGAGGAGACGGAAGAAACTAAAAGAGGGGAATTTGTGAAGGGGCGACTTGCAAGGAGTGGAAGCCTTCCAGACGTTCATCTCCTCGTGAAGCATCACCTTGTGTGGGAGATGCTGCCCGGGCTGCACCACCATGACACATCCGTGTCCGCACCCAGAGCAAGTGCTTTCGTACGCTTGCGTGTGCGTGCGTGTACACGTGTATGTGTGACGGGCCCTCTCCAACGTTTATAAAAGCATGAAAGGCTGTATCAGAAGGGACAGGAAGGTTTGGGGGATGAATCAAAAATCTTGCCCACAAGTGGCTCACATTGTCAGGAGTGACATCTACTTTCATTCATTTGATAAATAATATTACCAATACACACTATATTGTGTTTCCTTCGCACCAGTTCTGAGTACTTTGAAAATATCAATTCCTACAATCCTCACCACAACCCTGCGGACACTACTGTCATCACCACTTAATGGCGGAGGCTCCCGAAGCTCAGAGAGGTTGAGTAACTTTCCAAGGAGCACACAGGGATCACCAGTGAAAGCTGGGATCCTGGCCAGCCGAGTCTGGTTCTCAGGCCTTTGCTCTTAACACCTGCGCTGTGTTCCTCGCTTCCTCACAAGGGTCTGCTGTGTGCAAGGCTCTGCTCTGAGTGTGGGCGGCACAGCAAACCACCAAGCAGCGAAAACCTCACCCCCAGGCAGCCCAGGGTCCAGCGGGAGGGGCAATAAACAGAAAAGGAAAACGTCAGGGCTGGCAATGTGACGAGTGCTGTGGAGGAACACTGAGGAGGGAGGCAGGCAGAGTTTACCAGGTGCCAGGTACGTCACCTCGATTTCCACCGACAGCCTATGACGTGTGAGTTCATTTCCCGTTTCACAGACGAGGAAACCGAGACACAGAAGTGAGGGGATTTGATCAAGACCACAGAACTAGTGAGACAGGAACACAGGGAGTCTGAGGCCACACTCATCACCACGGTTTACACACAACACATACCCACCCATGCATGTGTGCGTGCATGCATGTCAGTGACAGGGCCTGGACTGGGGACGAGGCTGATGTGGCTGCTGGGACAGCCAGGCAAGCCAGGGAAGCACTCCACATAATGAATGAGGAGGAGACCGCAGCTACGGGGCTGATGGGGCCCCCACAGGCAGCACTGGTGGGCAGGGAAGTCTTCCTGGAAGGAGGGCTGAGCCGCCGGGACCATCAGGAAGCAGCTGCGCGTGGGTGGCGGGTGCCAGACCCCTGCCGATCCCCAAACTGGGCTCTGGATGTAGAGACAAGACCTACTGCCTGTCTGATGAGGGGCCCAGAAGGCGAGGAAGGAAGTCTCTCCATCTATGCAGGAGGCACTGTGAGGCCAGGGGTCAAATCCCCACCGGGGAGCATCAAGCTCAGGAAGGGCTACCCAGCTAAGCATTGTGCACAGAACTGTGCCTTAAACGCTTGTCTGGGGTGTGCTATTTTTAGCCCTCGGAAGGCTCGGAGGCCTCGGAGGCCTTGGTGCTGGGGGTGAGGTCACATCACTGGTAAGTGCTGGGTCCTGATGGCAAAGGGACAGCCGGGTCCAAAGTGGGAGGCGCTGCTGGGGCCGGAAGGCAGGTGTGTGTCCCCCAAGCCCGCGTGTTAGTCCTGTCTCTCATGTGACTGTTTTTCTTCAAGGAGACACATTTGAAGGAAAAACAACTGTAACAGATTTTTAAAAAAAGTTAAGTCCGTATTAACATTCTGAATGGAAACCAGTTTTCACTTCCTAGACAGAGAAGACAACGGACAAGAAAGAACACCGCGCTTCCTGTGAGTCTCGCCTGAGGCCTGCCCTTCGTTAGATAAAGAGGGAGTGGCCGCCAGCGCCCACTGGAGCTCACTGGCCCACTGAGGACGCTCCGACGGGTGTTCAAAAGAGAACAACCCTGACGGCGACGCGGGGACCTTAGTGCCAAGTGCAGGCCCCACCTAAAGTTTGCTGGGCCACCCACCGCCGACGCTTTGGCAGCTTGGGGCTCCCCCGCTGGAGCCTGAGCCCTTGGGCAGGTCACTACTTCCCAGAGCCTCAGTTTCTCCCGCTGTCGAGTGGGAGCTTCGCGTTCTTGGCTTGTAGAGATGAGGGGTCTGGGGACCCTGGAGGTGCTCAGTCTCGGGCGGCTGCGCGTGCAGAGCTCTTTGGCAGAGGTGGACCGGGTATCGCGGTACCGTGGGGACGGGGGTGGGGGTGGGGTGGCTTACCTGGCGGCCGCCGCAATCCCCCGGGGCCGCGGACGACAGCAGCCGGGCGTCCGGCCTGGGTCGGAGCAGCGGCAGGAATAGGGTTGGCGGGACGCAGGGGGCGGCGGCGCCCAGCAGCCAGGAGGCGCGAGGCTGGACCCGGGCGCCCACCCTGGTCGCGGGACCCAGCAGCACCAGCAGGCGCGCCATAGTGAGCAGCGGGGCACAGCTCGCCCCGCCCACCGGGGGCCGGAGCAGGAGCACGGATGGGCGTGGCCTTGCCGACCCCGCCCCTTTCCCCCGCCCACAGCGGCCGGAACTACCGTGGGGTGGGCGGGGCCGTAGCTGGCAACGCTCGCGGAGCGGGCGGGGTTGGAGAGGCGCGCCTTTTCGGATTCAGCCTCGGTATTAATTCCTGCAGCCTAGATTTGCCACAGTGTATTGGTTCCCAGCGAGTCAGAGGTCCGTCCAGCTTCAAGACTGAGGGGACTGGGTGGAAAGTGGCAAGATCACACGCTCATCTTTGGGACCTACAGGCTGTCTCGGAATTCAGTAACTGTGAATAATTTTTGGTCTCCAGTCTACAGGAGAGGAAACTGTGGGGAGCCTTCCCCAAAGTCTCATCCACCTCTCACACCTGATCCTGTTTAGCTTTTTTGTTGTTGTTGAAACTAGAGGATCCAAAATGTTTCTAGATCTTTGCTATTTTAGGCAGAAGAGAATATAGCACAGGGAACTGGCACCTGGAAAATCTTTGAAAAGCCGGAGGAGTGGGTATGAGGCTGAGCCCCCTGCTGTCGGGAGCCGACCACCAGCCGGCCCTCGACACAGTCGGGAGGGATGAGATGCATCTGCACAACAGAGGCCAGTGCGGCTGGACTTCCTGTCTGTCTCTCCTTGCATGTTTGTTGCTGAGATTAATAGGTGGTGGGATTTTTAGACACCTGCATTTCAGGTCCAATGATCTGCATAATTCTAATGAAGTTGTGCAAAATGATTTCTTGGCCAGAGAACAAAGTCCCCCCTAATGAAGTAGCCCCTGAATATCTAAAAGTTGATGGAGTAACAACCCCTTCTTAACCTTGGACAGGAATATGTATTAATTAGAAATATACAGGCAAAGAAACAGGAGAAGCTGGTTAGCTACTACAAACTAAGCAGGTAGAAACAATTACCAAGGAGTTAGAGTCCATATTACATTAAGAAATATTTTAGACAGAAAGATAGATACAGCTAAGTTAGACATCACAAAGGCCTTATCATGGATTTTCTAACCTCTGCTCGGTCTAGCGTACCTTTTTGCCCCATGTCAAATTCTAAGACCTTTAATAAACAATAAGACATTTAAACTCTGTACATACGGCTATTTCTAATTGTCTGATTAATGGCTCTCCTGGTCAAAACAATCTTTGTTTAACATAACTGCAACTATGGAAATTCTTGTACTTTTCCTGGTTACCTCTGTGTTGGTTTCTGGTTAACTGATCACGCCACGTACCTGTTCCTTTCATGCCATGTAACAATCTCTGTAAAAATAAAGCCTACATCAAACTCTGAGAGTTCAGTCAGACCCACAGAGGCTGGCTGTTCTCTGGCATCCAATCAGGTGTCTGACTCATCATTCGTTGACTGTGCCTTCCATCCTTCAGGGACCCTGAGGCCTGCCGAGGCTGGGCCCCGGCACCCTGGGAAATATTCCTTGGCCAGTCCGAGGGGCTGCCCCTTCAGCCACAACTGGGAAGGTGGGCACAGTAGTCTGTCAGTGGAACAAGCGACCTCTGCCACAGATGCCTGTCCACAGTCACGGATTGGCAGCGGCACACCCGGACACCCGAATTCCGCTGAAGAAACCCCCACATCTCTGCAGACTTGCTCGGCAGCAGCGAACAGCCCCCTGCAGGGGGCACCTCACCTGCAGCCCCCGGCAGGGGCACCTCAGCAAACAGGCACCTCACCTGCAGGGAGGTGCCTCCACCCCGTTTCTGTTTGCAGAATACCGTGCGAGTGCCTCCAATTGGCAGAAACGGATTCTTATCCAGAAGCCTGGCTGTGAAGGAGTCTGGGAAATTTTAGCCTTTCTGCCAGGACTGGGAGGTTGACAATGTACCTCATGTCCCTGGTATTGATAAAAATGAAGTCATGCTGTATAGGTGCATTATAACATGAGTTTTTCACTTCCTTTATCACTAATGTCTTTCCCATTGAAACCCTATTGTGGAACATTATTTAAAAGCTGCAGAGCATTCTATGTATGGTATGGATACAGTGAATTCTGTAGTCCAATCTCCTGGCAGTGGATGCCATGGACTGGATGTTTGTGCCCCTTCCAAATTCATGTGTCGAAGCCCTGACCCTCGGTCTGATGGTATTTGGAGATGGGGCCTTTGGGAGAGACCCAGGGTTAGATTCTGTCATAAGAGTGGGGCCCTCACGAAGGGATTCGTGCCCTTATAAAAAGTGGAAGAGAGAGAGAGAGCTCCATGTGACGATGTAGAGAGGATGGCCAGCGAGACAGGAAGAGGGCTCTCATCAGAACCTCACCATCCCGGCACCCTGATCCCAGAATTTCAGCCTCCAGAACTGTGAGAAAACTCATTTCTGTTGCTAAAGCCACACAATCTGTGGTATTTTGCTATGGTAGCCCCAGGGGACTGCTATAGATTACAGTGGACACCTGGGGGATTTCCTCTCCACACCCTCTTTTCCTATTTTAAGTTGAACTTAGTCATCAAACCCACCAGCCTTTTCTCCAGGTCCTCATTGTCTGTGATATTTTGTGGCAGCGGATCCTGTTCGTAGGCCCCTCCTCCAAGCTGTCTTGTCCGTTTGTTTACTAGCTCACTCGACCCGTGCTTACTGGGTACCAGCTGCCTATGCGTGGTTTGCTTGCGTCACGCATGCAGCGCCTACCGATTCTTCTTGCTCTGTGAGGCAGGGACTTGGGAGGAAAACAGGTCCGAGTTGAGTTTTGGAGCTGGTGACAATTAGCTGTGTGACCTCCCTGAACCCAGCTTTCTTTTTGTCTGTAACATGGGAAGAATGGCACATGCCTCTGTGGCTTCCTGAAGGAATGAGAAGCCATCCCGTGTGTGCGGGACAGGCGTGGGGTCGGTGCCACAGAAGTGGCCTTGTGGGACACAGTGAACGCCCCTGCAGACCACTGCTGAATTGGAAGCTGTGCAGGCTACAGCCTCTGGAGAAAGAAGGTGCCGGCGCTGGCTAATTTGTTTGGCAGCTGCTCATCCAGCATCAGTGTGGTGCTTGGCGCTGTGCTGGGCACAGACAGAGGAAATACGGATCGGGGTCCCTGGTCTTGGAGACAACAAGTGCAGAAGGAGCCCTCGAGATTCTCCATTCCCAAGATATGGGATCCCCTACCCTTTAGGCCGCCGTGGACAATGTCACCATGGGTAGCTGCTGCCGCCCACTTCAGAGTGACCCATTTATTCTTCTGGCCCACCCTGTGGGAACTTTGTCCCTGTTCAACCTTGGACCGATTCCGGTCCATTGTTTCTGCTCTCTCCGTTGTGTTCGGAGAGAATCGTGGCTAAAAACAGAGTCCGCAGAGACAGAGACCTGAATCTGATTCTGACTGGCCACCTACTGTCTGTGGCACCCTGGCAAGCTGCTTCGCCTCCGCACCCTTCACACACAGTCCTCATCACTGGAATGGGGACAGTGAGAGTAGACACCTCCGTCTGGTGTGAGGCTTCGATTGGGTAACATCGGTAAGTGCTCAGCCCAGCACCTAGTGCAAGGCAAGAGCTCAGAAAGTGCATTACCAGGGGATTCAGCTTCCCATGAATGAGCTGGAAGATCAGTCCAGTGCTTTGGGACTAATGGCACTTTATGGTTTGGGGCCAAGAGCCGGGGCCTTGGGGTCAGGTGGCCTGGGGCCGTGTCCCCACTTTCCTGTGGACTAACTGTGTGACTGGGCAAGTCGTGCGAGATCTCTGAACCTCAGACTTCTTACTTGTAAAGTGGGAATAATAACGGTGACCACCCCGTGGGTTTGCTGCAACAATGAAGAGAAATCATGACTTGAGGGTAATTGCCATAGGCAGTGTCCCCTGTAAGCCAGTGGCGGTGGGCACAGCTTCATCCCTTCATTCTGAGAAGGGGCAAGTGGAGTGGGCCTTCACTGCACCCCCCTCGATCGAAGTGCTAGCTTGTTGGCAGGCGGAGCTGCTGATGTGGCCATGTGTTCCCCACTCCCTTTGAGATGGACACGGGTCACTTACGTTGGAAGGGTCTGGATTAGCTGGGACTGTGATGGCTGGGGGATTTTTTTATGGTGTGTAAAGTGGTTGCTCATGATAACGTCTGAAGCAGTTACTAATAACGATTTAAAGACCGCTCGCTCATGTCTGAGAAACCTGGGGATTCACAAGAAAAAAACCAAACCAAATCCATAAAGCAAAGCAGTGCCTGCCTATTCTGTTGGCAATTATGGAGTTTTTGGAAGCTCAGTTGATTTTTAAAAAATTATAATAAATATACTGGCTCATTGCAAAACAACAAAATTCAAACGACACACCCCGTGAGGTCATTTATTCATTTGATGAACGCATTTGGAGCACCTGCTCAGGTCCAGGCTCACAGCTGTGAACCAGGAAAACCGAAAGTGCCCACAGAGCTCACGCATGACTGGGGAGGAGAGTGTGGAGAAATATAATTATAAACAGAATCTTCTTCCAACCAAGAAAACTTTTCTACAGAAGGAGAAGAGAAATAAAACAGTTTTATTATTGAATAAACATTAAGCCATAATGCAGTGCATCTCACAGGCAACCCACTAAAGAAACTGCAAGGACAGAGGGAAATCTCACCCTTGTGCACAGCTGAGTGGATGGCAATTGGTCACACCGGTGTTCTCGAGATAAACAGTAACCAGTTCTCAAGTCAGAGGACCCGAAGGCAACATTTGTCACACATAGTTCGTCCTAAGTGCACTGGGAACTGGGGCAGCCGTCTAACGGAATAATAAACTTCCCGCATCTCCACAGCAAGTGTGTGATTATAACACCGGGCTGGTCACTTTTGCAGCCCTCCCCCAGACAAGGGATGGGGGTGTCACCTTTCTTCACGTTTACATTTCAGAGAGGTGGCTCTCAGACTCTTGGAAAGCACGGTTCTTTGTTGTAAAAGCTAATGAGGCTTATTTCACTTTTAAAAGGTTTACAACTTTTCTAAAGGAAATGCAGTAAGAAAAGGAAAGGGTTTTTTTTTTTTTCCCCTTTTTGCAC